TAAATAAAGCTGCAAGTAAGCCTGTTTGTCTGTAAACATTGTTTATTTGAGCTTTTGGGGGGAACTATTTGTTTTTGCAGCCAATGAAAAATGGTGAGTCTTTCGCAAACCAGTTTGAAACAACCAAATCATTTTCACTTGGTGAAACAAAAGGTGCAGAAACACGCACTTCAGTTTTAAATGTATTCAAAATCTCCCTTTAGTTTTAAGATTCTGATTGGTGTAAGTTAAAAAAAATACAAACATTCTTCTTTTGCTCTCTTTTTTTTATTTCATTATTTTTTTTTTTACTCTTTTAAACCATGATGCAATAATTGAATAATCTATAACCTACTACTACATCCCAATGGGCCTGCAAGGTGTGCCAGTTCCTGCTCTGTCATCAGCACACGCATGGGTACTGGAAAAGAAAACACAGGGAAAGCCATGAAAAATGAAGCTATTCAGACAACCAGAACAAGACAATAAAGAGAGAGCAATATAGTTTACGCAATCTAACCATATTACCAATAATACCATGTTTATGTGCTCTATACAATAAATATGGCTTATTCAGGGTTTTTGGAGAAAGCACAATTCTGAAATGTCATATAAATGTGGTTTGGGGGATTAAGAGAAAGTAAAGTATGATTTCACTTTTCTAACTTTAGTTAGTGTGTAATGTTGCTGTTTGAGCATAAACAACATTATCAAAGTTACAACGCTAAAAGTTCAAAGCAAAGGAAGATATTTGCTTTTAAAGCAAAGGACCACAACAAACGGCTGGTATAGGGACTACACGACGACATTACTCCCGGGTTAGTGACATCACCAACCCTCTACATAAACCCCGCCCCCGGGAACAGTCCATGTTGAGAAGAGGAAGAGTGGTTGTATAAGAGTACTTTTGTGAGTCAGCTCAAACTTAAGCATCCATCTATTCACATGCAATAGAAAGTCACTCTGTGTGCATCTCACAACAGTTCCCATATGAGCGATTTATAGATTACATTGAGAATAGTTAACTCCACATCAGCAACATAAACTCATCAACTAACCATTCAGAGACGTCCTGTTGTATTCTACTTCTACATCTTCGACTGACTCCATTTTAACGTTGAAGGGAGAACAGTTTCTGTCATTTTAGCACAGACAGTAAAAGAAATGGACAGAGCGACCCCATTGATTTCAACGGAGAAGAATGACGCCCGATTTTTGCACTTCCTGACTGATGTCTGAGCGACTGCGCAGGCTCAAACTGAGTTTGACGACAGCCTGACAGTTGAAAATCTTCTAGTAGCTGTGCCAAGCCAAAACTGACTCTCTATCTATGGGCTTCTCCCTCAAATTTATGCCTCCATGTCCCAGTCCCCTTGATTGCCTCATAGAGAGTAAAAGATTGCCTGCGATTTTCTCCTCCTGTCTATATGGTATGCCTCTATTGTGCGACAGAAAGTTGTGTAGTGATGACGTAATTGTTAGCCTATTTTTCACAAAAACGGCATCTAAGGGGCCATAATGTAAGATACAAAGTAATGGAGCGTTTTATACATTGTCGTGTTTCTTTAGAAATAAATAATGGACAAATGAAGTCTTTGGATACCTCAGATGTAAAGTTATTGCGCTGTCAAAGTGACGCCAAAATTCAAAAGTCAATGGGATGCTAACAGCAGGTGAACTTCTGCTACAATGCCGGCACCCGCTAGGCTTCAACTTCCAGCTGACGGATTACCCCCTTGCATTTTAGCGTGTCTGCGTGAGGAAATCTGCTAACACACAAGCTCTTGAAACCCCAACCTCTGCAGCAGCTCATTTGCATTTAAAGGGCCAGGCACAAAACGGTGCGTTTTTGCAAACCCTCAAAAAGTGACAACTTTAACATGCTATATAAAAATATCTTTGGGGTATTTCGTGCTAAAACTTCACAGACACACAATCTGGGGAAATCAGAGATTTATTTTACATCTTGTGAAAATGGCATTTTACCACCCCTTTAACACATGGCTCATGCGACCATGTAAACATCCTACTTTTTGGAGAGTGTGCATGTGCATGCCGGAGTTAGGGTTATATCTGTGTGTGTTGAATCAATATGGGATGCAATTTGTCATAGGACGTGAAATCGAAGGTCGAAGAGAGAAAACGAAGATCGTCCATGTTCAACTCCTGTCTGACCTGTTCTCAAGACCGGTGACAGGAAAAGAAAGCTGTGTACTGGCAGTAGTGCTGTGTGTACTGTGGTACTAAGCTAAAAGCAACTGTGATGAAAAACAGGGGGGCCCATGTACAGTATGTCTTCAAACAGAATAGCAATGTCAATGATATACATTTGAATGGCCGAGTAGATAGCTGTGACTGTTTTCCCTGGTTTTTATGTGTTCTGTTAGTGGTAAACGGTGCATGTTTTACCTACAGTAAGTTGTCTTATAGGCGACAGGGAGTTAAATGGTGGCTCACCAATATGTCGGAATATCTCTCAAACTATGAGAAAGTACCTATAGCAGGTGTCCAATCCTTCTCATAGAGGGCCACTGTTCTGCAGAGTTCTGCTCCACTAAACACACCTGAACTAGACGATCAAGGTCTCTTAGGCATACAAGAAACTTCCGGGCAGTTGTGTTGAAGTTGGAGCTAAACTCTACAAGACCGAGTTTGGACATCTTGGATCTCATGGTGCCGTATAATTTAAAATAAAATATTATGGATTCCTATCCTGTGATCCTAAAGAGGACATGGAAGTGGTTTGGAGAATTAATCTATGGATGCATTCCATAAAAAGAAAAGGGTTTGTGTGTGTGTGTGTGTGTGTGTGTTTGGGGAACAAAAGCGGAAGATGCAGAAGAGGCCATAGAGAAATGGGTGGAGAAGCAGCATGGATGGATGGGCAGAGGGACAAAAGAATGGAAAGAGGAGAGAAGAAGGGATAGGGTACAGCACTGTGCACAGTGAGGAAGAGTCGGGAGGGGGCAGGAAACACTGCACACATCCTCAGATAGGAAACGCAGCCTTTTCCATGATCATCCTGCGTCAAATATTTCAGAGGTTTTGGTTTGTTCTCTTTCACACACACATATTTATTGACTGATCACACATAGTTAATGGCTCAAGTGGGGAATGAGGTTTCCTTGCATTGCTGGCAAACTGTCCAAACAAACAGACAGAAGCATATTGTCTAGTCTGGTTATTGCTTTACTTCCTGTTATAAATCACAACCTCATTAAATGGAAAATAGAATGAGACACACACGCACACAGGTGTAACACATATGAATTATTGGTGACCATTTTTTTTTTTAAATCACAAATACTATTATTTATTGGATGGGCCATGAAAGTACATGTTCAGAAAACTTTGACTGGGATTGTACATCAATTGTCAAGTTGTGTCACTGAAATGAAAGTCGGGTTGACGTATTGACATCAGAGCCCGGCGTTGGGTTGACGGCAGAACCCGTCTGATGTTGGTTTCTGATGTCAACTCAATTTTCATTTTCAACGTTGGGTTTCTATTTTGTCGTTGTTTTGGAGCACACTAGCTCATAGATAACAGTAAGGCTGACATATTCATACTAAAAGACAAAAAACTTTAAATAGGGCCCTATTTGAGGGAACAGCCATTTGGCTGTACGAAACCATTGTGGACATTATTGAGTGCACTTATTCAATCTCACATTCAATCCCACCACTGGAACTGTGTTGAAGAAATAAATCTGGTATTGATATGAGGGTAGGTAAGCAGGAATTGATTCAGAGGCATAAGGTGCTGTTAGTATTACATGCAACACTGCAACAATAAATGTTGTTTATACAATGCATTGACAGTTACGATACTGAAGTACTTTTAAAAACGAGTTCTTCTGTACTTTTACTTAAGTTAATATCGGTTTTTACCACTTTTACTTGTAACAGAGTAATATTTGACCAGTAGTATCTATACTTTCACTCAAGTAAGGAAGTTGTGTACTTTGTCCACCTCTGATTATTTATTTATATTGATAGTAGACATCCTGACATAGCCTATGCAGTATACATCCTCTGAAAATTACATAGGCCTATTTTAACACACTTGAGATGTTGGTTTGTCTTTGTGTATTTTAGGAGTGATTTTCTAGGATCACACGACAAATGGCTTATTGCACACCCAAAGCATAATTGTGACTAAAAAGCTGTTAAGTATGGGCGTAGATGACTTTCTGAGGGCACTGACAAAATATATTTTGCCTGCTGCCCCCTTGTGTTCATAATTTAGAACTTCTTCTTCTTGTATGGGCCGCAATATTTTATTTCCCAGGATGGTAGGGGAAGGTAGCGCCTTTTTCGCCTCTGATTGGCTAGAAAGGCTCTGCTCTGATTGGTTATTTAATTTGGCCGTGAAATCTCTTCAGATGAGAAGTTACACATACACACACACACAACCCCTAAACCTACCCAACATTACACACTCTAAACCAAATCAAATAAAAGACAATGCCCTTCAAGTCAAGACACAAAAGGTGATACCTACCATCATGGGGAAAAAAACCTACCATCATGGATTCCCTACCATCATGGGGGGGAAAAAACGTGTATTCGGTGACCCAGAAAGTAAGCAAAAAATAGCCTTTTAAAACAGATTAACCAAAACGTGCTTTTTCTGTCATGGTCCATGGTATTAAATAGCCCTAGATCTAGTCAAGTCCAGGGCTCTCAGATTTTGAAGACAGGCAGTGACAAAAGTATAGAATCATGTAAGTTAATGTTTAAGTTACACTATCCGTATCAAGGTGTTCTGATTCTTTTTCTCCAGTTTTCTGATCCACAGTGGGGAATATCATCAACCAAAGCTTGTGTTAATAAACATTCATTTTCATATATTTAAGATTAGGAAAAGATTTTGTAGATACAGAGAGCTTAATGTTTCTTCTAATGGGTTTAATCAAGCCAGATGTTCTGGAACATTACCTGACCATGGAGCGTGGGGTCTATTAGCAAATTTCTGTCATGTGGAACCTAAAATATCCGGTATTTGTTTCCTTCGGAACAATTACAGGAGAGGACAGAAGTATGGTGCTGCTGCGATGCATACAATAACAATAGTTAATATTATATGGTTTTCGTTAGCACTATGTTTTATAGTAGCCTTTTGCCTTTATACGTTTTCGTTGAAACTGCCTAACAGGCTGGAGGACGTGTTTCAGGATGTAATCCGATATGGAAAAACTAAGGAACACACCAAGCGCCCAAGCAGGCAGCTCGTTTTTGACCTACCAAAGAGGTGATTTTGGATTAATTAAAGTTCTGTATATTGCCAATAATATCATGATTTGAGAACGCCAAGACGATTGTGCAGGAAAAATTTTCTCTGATGTTTTCTTTAGGTGTTTCGTTCATTTTTATGCGGTGTCTGTCATGTGGAATGGGCTGCTTCTTCTATTCTCCATCCGGTCTGTCGTCATGAGTGAGACACTCCCTGATTGGCTGATTGACGCGCTTTGTCGTTTGACTGGCAGACCAAAAGATGCTTGGAACGGTACTTAAATCAAATTGCAAAGAAATATATTTTTTCCCACTTTATCTTACTTTTTTAAAACATGGTGACCAGCATGTTACTGTATTAAAACCATAAAAATGTAGTAACCAACTATGCCATTAAAAAAAAAAAAAAATACAATCAGAAAAATTCTGAAAGCTCCTTGGGCACATTTTATAAGGGAGACCCCATATTTTTAATATGATTTATTTCTCACGAATATATATTTAATTTTATCTGTTACTTTCCATTTACCATTCAATTGAATATTCACATGCTTAATTGTGTGTGATTTTCAGAGTTACATTTGTCCATTCTGCTTTTACAAGTGCTACTATGGGTCCATTCCTTTAGACGGCTATTGGAGTGCCTGTTTGTCAGCGTATTCTCTAATGGCGTGATCCATATAGTCCAGTACACATTTGGTTTGTGCTACTATGTCCTACTTGGACTAACTATCCTGTGTTTAAATGCCTCTTTGCCACAATCAGGTTAGTACAGTGTGTTATTTATGATTCTATCAATTCTTTAAATTGCAAATCAAAACCTAATTCATGTTAAATTGACATATATATATATATATATATATATAGAATATAGCAGCCTAGATTTATCTGGATATTTCTTTACTCTTTGTGTCTCTCTGCAATGTCAGGGGCTGTTCCTTTCTTTAAACAGCTCACATGGTATCATGTGATCGGGACTCTTCTTTTCATTGGGGCATCGCTCCTCCAGCACTGGTCCCTCTCACTGCTGGCTAAGATGAGGACTGACAACTCGGGTAGGAAGCCCCTTTAGTTCGTTTAAATATGTATATATATTTATATATATATATATATATAATTATATATGTATGATTTTTTTTTATTTTTTTTTTTTTTACAAAAATAAATCTTTGTTCTCTCTATGCAACACAGGTAAAGTAGAGACTCTGGCCCACAAGATGCCATGTGGGGGCTGGTTTGAGCTGGTCTCTTGTCCCCATTACCTGGCTGAGCTCCTGATTTATGTTGCCATGAGTGTTTGTTGTGGCTGCAGTTCCTTAACCTGGTGGCTGGTGGTACTGTATGTACTCTATAACCAGGCACTGGCTGCACAGCTCTGCCATGATTACTACCGGAGCAAGTTTGAGACATATCCACGTCAACGCAAAGCTTTTATACCCTTTGTCCTGTGATTTATGCATTTTATATGAAAATATGAACCTAATGAATAAATAAACTATTAGCCAAATGAAAATAAGCTGATCTCAGTTGCTCTCTCTAAAAATTGGAACAACTGATACATGGTTCAGGTATGTTTAATGTGTAACAACATGCAGGGCAAAATGGACCGTTGTCCTGACAGACTGACCTCAGGAGGTGATTGACAACGGCTATCAGCAAATTACTTCAAATGAAAGTGGATCCTACTCCATAAGAGAGAGAGAGTCCATTACATTTTTGTCAGCCTAATTCTTGCTATTGACGAATTGATAACATTCACTTCATTTTCATTTGAACGAGAAAACATAAGCAAATACAGAAAGGTTAACAATTATAAAATATCAATGATTAAGCACCAGTGGTAAATATGGTCAAATAAAATGGGTATTTACTTGTATTTAAAGATTTTACTAGTTTATGATTCAGTTTATGCATTAGATGCAATAATCTTAAGGTCAGTATTTATTAGGTCAGTAACAGTATCCACTGCTTGTCCACTCAGCTGTTAGTAAATACATTCAGCAATGTGCACATCCGTGTAACAATGAGAAGCCAAACTCATGTCCATTAATTATTTATGTCTTTTGAGAAGAGTTTCTAATCTCATATTTTCCTTTTACATTACAATTCTACCTAACACATGAAGGTGTTTCTTCCTAAGTTATTAAGACTGACGGACGTCTCAACCAATAGTCTACCTCAATTTTGGTGACGTATGTCTCTCCTGTACACGTTTATCTCCCAACTGACCAATCACGGTTGGTTTCCACACAACATGTTTGTCTTAGCCTGTGGTGTTAGTCTTTCGGCGGAATGATGACCACGGTGGGCTAGCCAGATTGTACCGACAACCCTAATGTTTATAAATTGGCGGTTTTATTAGCTAAATTTGCAGAGTATTAACACTAAATAAACCGCATTAGCCATCCATTAAGATGCCTCTCCGGGCCGGCGAGCGGCATGGCGGTGGCAGGTTTAAATGCTTCCTTGTTCTACTTAACGTCGTGTTGTTTTCAGCCCGAGTTATAGCAACTCAAGAAGAGAATAAAGTTATTAACGAGCAGCAACCCGCGGAGGTGCGTAAGAACATATTTTCCTTTTTGCTAAGAAACATACATAAGAAAGATTATTAAACTAACTTATATAAATGTGTCCAAGTCAACGAGGAGTGGTGCTAAAACTAGCTAGGCAAGTTAAAGAGGGAAGTGTCATTCGAGGAATACAAACGTCTAAATACTGTCTGGTTAAACTTTCTGTTCACTTGGATATAAGGCTGGAATAAACGGATGTCAAGCAGGGATCATCCAGGATATTCTGCTATAGATAATGTGGGTTTTTATATTTTGGTAAATACTTGTGTAACTAACTTATAACCATAAAAGAACTTCAGTTTCTTAATCTACACATCTTCTTTTTATGTGAAGTGTTGGAGCCCAAGGAGTTTGCCCACCCTTCTCATTGATGAAGTGCAGGACTTGTTCAATTTGATGAGTCAGAGGCACATTGTGGCATTGAAAATAAGCTTTTTCTCTGAGAGTATGAGCGCAGAGCAGATCAAATTAAAGAACCCAGTTGCATTGATATGTAACGTTAGAAAGTAGGGGTAACTAATATACCCTCATGTCACAATTCGATACACGATACAATATTATTGCGATACTCCGAGATATATGGTAAAAGGTTAACAAAAATATAACTACTGATTCAAATGCTAAATTTGTTTTTACATTGAGGGTGGAAATAAATAGGCTTGGACTTGGTGCTGGTAATCCAATACACAAGACAATAGTGACATCAGAATAAAAATATTCATGAATGATTCTGACACTGAAAATTAAATTATTTTAGACGAATATGTTTGCACTCCATCACTGATATATTTAAAATAATTTAGTCCACTTTTTACTGGTAACATAAGACATTATCAGGACCCACAAATATATATATATATATATATATATATATATATATATTCATATATATATATTCAACATTATACATAGTAGTTTAATGTACCAGTACTACTGACACTAAAACTCTGTAACCTACATTTTTTCACGCACAGTAATTTTCATTTTGGGTGTACTATACTCAATGCATATCTTCACTATCCACGATAGATATTGTTGCATTTTTGTATTGCAATATATTGTGACTAAATATTTTGTTACATCCTAAGTGTTTATTTAGTTATTTTGCTGCTGTTACCATGTTAAAGGGATAGTTCACCCAAAAATGAAAATTAGCTGATGATTTACTCACCCTGAAGCCATCTTACTTTCAGGCGAATATAATCGGCGAATATATTATATTAGAATATATTATTTTCTGTTGCTCCATATTTTGTAGAAATGATGTTGCTTAGACAGTTACAGTTATTAATTGACCTAACATCTCAATCATAATTTCTGTCCTGCTACAGAAGGCAACCACCGGTCACGCTCCCGGCCCGGCAGTGAGCATCAATGAACCCGATAAGGGAAACCTGGGCTTTATTCATGCCTTTGTGGCAGCCATCTCAGTCATTATCGTGTCTGAACTGGGAGATAAGACGTTCTTCATTGCAGCAATCATGGCTATGCGCTACAATCGCCTCACTGTTTTGATGGGTGCTATGTTGGCTTTGGGACTCATGACATGTCTGTCAGGTAGGTGAAATACAGTTGTTCTAAAGCACCTTTTTTAAAATCATCTACAAATGTTGATATGCTAAGAATTTTAATGTCACATGACTTTAGAGTGGGGAAAAACGTTTTTGGGTATTACGTGTTGAATAATCTGTTATCTGACATAAAATTTAACATAGCAAGTTTTAAACAGTCAAATACCCCCACCTCATTAAAGGGGTGATGAACTGAGAAATCAAATTTTCCTTGAGCTTTCGAAATCTATTGAGCTTTTTTTCCTTGAGCTTTTGAAATCTATCATATTATAAGAATATCCTGTAAGTTTCAGAACTGAAAATGTCCTTGTTAGTCCAATAAAAGCTTTTATTGACACCAGCCTCAGCAAACGACTCATTTTGAAAAGTGGGGAACTATGACGTCAAAGAGGTTAAAACACCACCCCCGCAGAAGATCACCGCCTACTTCAACACAGCAGGTTTAGCCCCGCCCACCGATTCGCGCATTACACGCATAGCTAAATAACATCGGATGCCTACCTCTTGATGACAAACGGATCGAGCTACTGAGCAATAGAAAATTTTGTGCAGTGCCGGATGCATTGCCTAATGCATTAAAAGAGTGTTGATCTACTGTGTGTCTTTTATAAAATCCTCTCAATGCACGAATGACCTGTTTTTCTCTTTGTTTAGTCCTGTTTGGTTATGCCACCACCATTATCCCACGCATCTACACCTACTACATTTCAACAGCGCTGTTTGCCATCTTTGGGTTGAGGATGCTGAGGGAGGGACTGAGGATGAGTGCTGATGAAGGGCAAGAGGAGCTGGAGGAGGTCCAGGCTGAGATAAAGAAAAAAGATGAGGAGGTAACAGCTTTGTAACTTCAGTGGTATGGCTATATATAACACACCACCTGAACCATTTAATCTGACCTCTGATTGACCTCTCCTCCCTCAGCTTCAGCGCTATAAGCTGGCAAACGGCACACCCGACGTGGAAGCGGGGTCGACGGCGACCTTGTTGCCTCAGAGGAAGTGGCACAGTTTGATCTCACCCATATTCGTTCAGGCACTCACCCTCACCTTCCTCGCCGAATGGGGTGACCGTTCTCAGCTTGCAACCATTGTTCTGGCTGCAAGAGAGGTATTGTACAGAGTCCAAAATTAATCTCTGTTCTAAAAGATTAAATGCATGAAAATGTATTTCACGAACACATTTTTGTTATACTGGTTGAAACTTTCTTCACATTTTGATCTCAATCAGTTATAGAATTGGTCTAAATACTAAAACATATATATAAAATGTATACTATTATATATTGCAATTTAGCAATTTCATAAATCATCTAATTTAATAGCTCAGTAAAGTCCTGTATGATGACTAATAGCTTTAGAGATGTTACCTGTGAAGAACTGGCTGGTTTTGTGCTCCAGAATCCATTTGGAGTAGCAGTTGGGGGAACATTGGGACACTGTCTGTGCACAGGACTGGCTGTTATCGGTGGAAGGATGGTGGCTCAGAAGATCTCTGTCAGAACCGGTGAGTCATTTATTACATTACTTAATGTTCTGTAGGTTTACATGAGCAATGATCTATATCCAAATTTATTTGCCGATATTTTCTTTTGTTATGTCTACAGTTACAATCATTGGTGGGATCGTTTTCCTCGCTTTCGCGTTCTCCGCCCTCTTTATCAAGCCCGATTCTGGATTCTGATGGAACTTTTGGTTTCATTTTGTACATACTGTCACCACACTATAACACAGAAGAAGTGGAACAGAGAGACTACGCAAAGACTGCGGATGGGTTGCTTGTTTATTTGTTTTTGTTGTTTTGTTGAGTGAATGAAAAACAATTTACTGCTCATGTCTTAATGAGCTTTTTTTTTTGCTTAATTCCTCCTTGTTTTTCTTTCAACCAGACATTATTCTGTTTTTAGGTGATCCTTATATTTCTCCAGTATGTCACCTTACAGTTTACTTGAACTTGCCAGATGTTTGTCATTGCACTTAGTAACATTTTAAATAACACATAATGAATCTTGATTCTATTATTGTTTTACCTCTGTTTGAGTAGTGCATTATGGATAAATGCTGGCCTGGGTCCAGTCTATTTTATTTAAGTTCTATCTTGACTACAACAGCTGTAAAACTACAACCAGATCAAGACGAGCACCGCCACCCTTCCCTATGACATCGTGTCGTCTACACACGTCTCAGTGGATAAGAGCCTCTAACCGTCATGATTTCCTCATCAATGACATACTACAGTTCTGAATTGAACACTAAAGTATTCTTTAGGAGCTGCCTATCGATGAGTTGTCCTTGTATTCTTTCATACTATATTAGCAAAGGCTTGAAATGATGTGGGTTCTGATTACATCACCAGTGGCCTTTAAACCCGGACATGGAACTGGTCATTGTGCATTCATAAATGCATGGGTGATCACTCTTCCCCTCTTCGTCACTGACTCACTGGTCATGAAGTGTTAAAAACAGTCATGTTGTTACAGACTCACCTGGAAGAGGCACACAGCCTCTTAAGGAAATGTAACTACAATTTCAAAAGTCTGCCCTTTTCCTCAGATGTTTTTATTTATTCTAGTATGGAGCACAGATATTGATATTTTGTCATGGTTGAAGAATTTGTCCGGTCATGGAGGAGATTGTTTTTTTTTCTTTCTTTTTTTGTAACATTTTCAGGGTGACTTTGTCAATATTTGACAGGGGTTAAAGTGTGCTGAACTTTAGCGGTAGAGGAACTACAAAAATGTTATTCCTGTAAATATTAAATTAAAAGGTCAGTGTCAGTCTTTCAGGGGTGTGTTTGTTTGTTTAACAATATGAACACTGTTAAACCAAGGAGCAGATGTAATAGTCTACAAAGTTATAAAGTATTTTTTCTAAGATGTTAAATGTGCGCTCAAATAGTTTTTGGACAATTAAGTCAAAATTCTTTGCATTAGATGGAAAATACCAAACCGTGTGGCATCTGCAAACTATTTTTTTTGAGCCCCCTTTAATTATTACATTTTTGTGGCAATCAAGTTCACACAGACCACCGGTGTAGTTCCATCACATAAACATGCTCCAATGTTGACAAGCAGAAAGTAAGTTTGTCTTAATTTTGAACAATATATCTATTGCTTAATACATCAAAATCTAAGAAACGTAAATTATTTGACTGAAAAGTATGCTTGTGCTATGTTTCCACAAATACCTCATTTTGATGCCACATAATGCAGTTACATGTTATAATACATGTTAAATTGTGGCTTAAGTGTCGAAAAAAGTTTTGGGAACAATGTAAATATGTATTACATTCAAATCTTAAAGCTGCAGTCTGTAGTTTTTCCTCTTTGTTGCCATCTCTGTTGGAAATCGAAATTCTGATTAACTAAGAGCATTGCAGTAAATCGCACGGATAAAATCGAATGATCGCTTATATCCCGTCAAACTGCGCAAATTATACTTTGTTCTCAAATTGTTCAAATGTTCAACATTAGCATTGCGTGACTACATTTAATGCCCTTCCGAAATTTATCCTTTTTTCTCACATGGGTCTGGTTGCAGTCTCTTTTTTTCTGAAGTTTTACTTTTGCGTTTTACAATGGATGAATCTCCAGTTGTCACTGGTGATTGTCGTTTGAATCTTTGATGCGTCATCAGATTTATACGTTTAATTATATCAAGTGCTGTGAGAAAAGGCTATAAATCTCTACCTCCAACATCGCAATATAGCTTATACTAGCCGCAAAGACATGTTTGAATTTTCCGCGGAAATTCACCAGTACCACTGGAATTTTATATTTGTAAAAACATTATTACAAGTTTACAGGTTTGAATCAAGCTAAGGCAAGCAGATGGTTGTGAACACTGGCTGGTTATATACTGTTTAAAAATTATTTAGGGTAATTTTTAACCCAAAAAAGTTACGGACTGCAGCTTAAACCTAAAACAGGCAAAGTGTCTCACAAGACACATCATTTTTAGTCTTTTTGGGGGGCATATGAATGATTTTTTCATCAAATCCTTATATCACTAATGACAGCCTGGTCTGTCTTGACTATGCTGGTCACATGATCTGCTTCAAAAAAAATTGTTATTAATTAATTTGGTTAATTAGTCAGCCTGACCTAAATCCAATATGGCTACCAGTGGTGCTGAACATTCTGATTTTGATATAAGTAAATATATATTAAACTTACTTTTCTTCTGGAAAAAAAAGAATACTGCTAAGATTAATTGTGAACATTGTAAAATCAAGTAATATGTTTTTGAAACACATTTTGAAATATGTGTCTACTGAGTCACGTTGTAGGTTTAGGGTATAAAAAGGGATTAAACTAGCTCTATTTAAAATTAACTATTCAAACACTATTCATTGTATTTCAAGAATGCTTTGGAATATAGACATTATGGGAAAAAGTTATGGAATTTTAAACTTACAGTAAATCAAATATACTGTACTTAATATTTTTTCTTTTTTTTATAAAATATGTATTTTACAAAATATTTTTTTACTCTAAAATTACTATAAAATCAAAGCCATACATCCAACCAAGTTGTGTTCCAAATTTGAAGTTGATATCATAAAAATTGAAGTTCCCATAAGATTTTATTTAGGCATAATACCCCAAAATAGCCACCGAGTGACTTGTATTCCATTTAATTTAATTGTACGCATTCTGCCATAACAAATTAATACATTTCTGTCCAAATATCACTTCTGTCACAAAATATCGAACCTTGAGACTCAGACCTTTCTGACAATATGCATTTTGTCAAGATTAGAAAAGGTTTTGAAAGGATTTTCGCCACAACAGTGGCAACCGGTCATATTGGTCGTGTGAAGCACATCGATGGGACACAAACCAAAGATCGCAGAGCATCAGCACCCCTGTTACTAGATAGAGCTACAAGCACAGAAATGCTGGTGGAGGAGCCTAAATAACCACAAAAACTTCCAAGAGGAAAAAGATTGAAGGCTGCAAACCTGGTGTGAAATGTCCCAAAGCGGTCACCATAAAAGAGCAACAAGTAGGAACAGCAGTGTAAAAACTTGAAAGGATTGGCACCAGCCAAGTCCAGAACGCAACAAGAGATCTGAGGTGAGTCAAAGAGAGGAGACAGATTAAAAAACATTGGAAAAGATCCTCTTACGCTGAGTGAGAAGGTCTCATGCCACTCCAAGTAGATATTAAGATCCGCCTGGCGACTTTGCAAAGGGCAGAGAACTTGAGGAAACTGCAAGAAGAAAGAACACGTTTCTATAAAGACGCTTTCAATTTCGTCAAAGACCTTTTTGAAAAGGAAAAAAGCAGAACTTTGGGAATTGGAGAAACCTGTAAAACATCCGCCATGACACAAAACGGCATGAGCAGATAGTCATCCCACCTGACATCCTGCCAATCCAACCACCTGAATTCAACATGGACACTAGCCCTCCTAAATGGAAAGAGGCAGAAAACCTGGTCCGACGAGCAAGAGCAGCATCTTCTCCAGGGCCTAACGGAGTACCATAAGAACGCACCAGATGTCCTACACTTTCTGTGGTGGCTCTGAGGGTAGTATGGCAGAAGAAAAACATACCCATGGCTTGGCAAAGGACTGGCGGCATGCTAATTCCAAAAGAAATGAGTGCATCAGACATCAGCCAATTCCAGCCAATATGCCTTCTCAACGCCGAGGGGAAAATATTTTTTAGTATAGTAGCACACTGTACGCCTACTTGAAAAAAACAGACAAACAAACAAAACAAGTACATAGACACATCTGCACAGAAAGCAGGAATTCCAGGATTCTCAAGATGGTTCTCACTGCAGAACATGAAATCCACAGGGAGGAGTCGGATCCAGATCCAACTCCTCCCACCTAAACCTACCCAACTCCGCCCCCTAATCCCTAAACCCAACCCCAATCCTAACCATCTCCACCCCTTGGATCTTGATCCGACTCCTCCCCGTGGATCTCATGTACTGCATTGAGGTGCTACTGGGATTCTCTGGCTGCTTGGAGCATACAAGCATGATCTGGCACCAGATCCAAGCAGCCAAGAAGGACAAGAGAGACCTTCATGTGGTTGTTCTTAACCTGGCAGGGCCCAATTTGGCTCAATTCCCCATAATCTTCTCTGGGAATCTTTCAAATTCTTCCACGTACCAGAACGCATCACAATATTGGAAACTGAAGCTCTGGTGCCTGCAGTTTGGACTCCTCCCCAGACAATATGGCAATAAGAACTCCCACCTGTCAAGAGCTTTCAGCCAGCTGTAGACTGCATCCACAGGGTGAATATTGAGAACGGTTCAGCACGGCACACAAGCTAAGGACTGAAAATTCTGCAGCAGGCCACCCTTGTGAAGGGTGTGTAGTGCTGAAGGGCTAAAAGACCCCTATGATGCAAGGGCACACTACTGGTGATGTGTCCCGTGCCCGATAGACTGGGAATGGTACCCTGGCCAAAATTTACCTCCCACACAACTCGGAGAATCCCCACTAGTTAATTGTCTACCACTCCCAGAAACAAGGTGAATCTCGAAAAAGTGCTCACCACCTATTGAGACAAGATACAGCTTCTAACATTGTATCCTGTGTTTTTGTTAATGTCTCTTTACTATCCCTAATTGGGCTTATTTATTTGCATTTTAAGTTCACTTTGAGTGTAATTGTTCAGTTGATTTTTTTTGTGTGTAATTATTTATACATATGTTTTATGTATACAGATGTTTTACGTGATAGCCTATTTAAGGTGTTTGCGTGTGGGGTTACTGTGGGAACAGGAACTAACGAAACTTAACGGGAACTTTCGGGTACGTCTACAATCGTGTCTCTTAAACCTGTTATAGTACATTTATACATAGATTCAAAAGTGAATTAAGCAATTTAACATTGTAAACTCGTGGACAGTTATTGGACAACTGTGATTCGTGGGTAGGCTCAAGCCTCGAGGCCGCAAGTAATCTTGATTGCGGATGTGATAATTGCTTTTTTACAAGTTCAATAAACATGAGGTTACTTCGGCTGTTTTCCCAACACAAAAATTGTTTCAAACGAAGCCAAAGCAGCATGAACCGTCGTCTCGAGGAACACGCAGTGGTGGACAGTGTGAAGTAACTCCAGAATTAATCAATAATGTTTTTGAACGAATTGGTTGAGTTGACTCAAGTGAATCACTCGTGGCCACCTTCTGGGGTAACAATGTGACCTGCAAGAAAAGATTCACTGGAAAAATCCTTAAACCTTAAGTTATTTATGACATTTGTAGAGTGCCGAAGTTACGACGCCAAAACGCGGAAGTGAGTTAGCATTTAGCACTACCGGTTCCCGATCTAAAGTCTATGGGATTTTTGAATGGGTTTTTGCTAAATCGCCTGAAATAAGGTCTGTGGTGAACAAAGCCTCTAAATATTTTCACGTTTTGATCTATGACATAGAACACAGTTATAACCTGCTTTTTTAAACTTTATTGTGTCCGCTTGTGTTTTAAAAAAACTTTATATAGGCTTCAAAATGTATACATTTTGGATTAACTTGTAAAGATTATTTTGATAGACAAAACGTGTAAGGGTCACAACTCTTTGTTAAACACAGATCTTATTTTTTGCGATTTTCCAAAAGTCTATGGGGAAAACTGCTTTTCAATCAAGGGAACCCATGCGCCGCTAGCTTCCGAGTTGTCCTACAAAGTGACGTCACTTTGGCACTCTATTTAGAGGGAACTACCATAAAAACAGTTGACAATGCATTTTTTTTAAATCATTTTATTTTCAAAATTGAATAAGGGGAGTAAACGGCACTGTTCGTTTAAAAAGGTTCCATTATTTCTTTGTTAAATGTAAGAATGGCCTGGCTCACAAAATGAACCCAATACAGCACACTGTTTTCTGGTGTTACAGATTTTATTTTAAAAATTGAGTTTAGGAAAACAGAGCTATGCTCTGGTAGCCCCTGATGGAGCTCTGAAATTTGATGAAACCTAACAAATGGTGAAAGTTAAATAGGTTTATTTAAATAATTTTATTAACGTGTACTGACCAGATAAATTTCATGAGCCAAACACAAGTGCTCAGCAAAGAACATCACACGTACAAAGATTAAATGATAGCAAGAGAACACTGATAGACATTCAGAACTTCTAGTGCGTACATCAGAACTACAGAACATTTAACATGGTTCACCACCTCCTTTTCCACTGGGGGCTTTTTAACGTTTCAAAAGCAAATTCAACAGGATTTCGGCATGTTCTCTCATCTTTTCTCACAGCTCTTTGGGTTCATTACTAAACGCCAGCTGACATGAAGTTGCATTGAGCACCACAGACAATCCAGAGGTAAATAGAGGGCAACCGTTATGACAGATCCTGTTTTTTTGTGGCTCTTTATGGAAAATGCAGAAGAATGTGAGTTATTGAATAGGTCACTATCACAAGTGAGGAAAAGAAAGAAGGGGCAAGATTGATGTTGGATTTGATTATTCTAAAACAACCTGAGGAAGCTGTAGTATTTCTCTGTAACCTTAGGGCTGACATAATAAAATCAGTGCAGAAAACAGAAAAACAACCCCTTGATTTCCAAAACATCATTGCATGTGTCAACAACTGACATCTGATGCCAGTGTGAGAGGATTCACTATGCATCAGAAGGTCATTTGTGACCCAGACTGGTCGTCTTAATTTTTAAGCAAAAAACTACTCTTTTTTTTTTTAACGTATTACCTTCAAATGCTCCAAAACATCACTAGGAGTCTGTAGCATAAATCAATGACCTCTCTTACTCGGACAAAGACTGAATCAACTTCCTGAATCCAACTGCATTGTGGGGAGAAAGTTCAACTGGTCCTCCAGTGTGTCACAGTTTGTTTAAATCCTTAATTTGAGGTTACAATGTGGAATAAGCTTGATATTCTGTTCACTTTCTGTGCAAAAGGTGTATAACAGTTGTTTTATACATCAACTATAGCCTATCTGCATAAATTCTCTGTTCTGACCTTGCTGTAGAAAAATAAGAATATCTATTTTTTTAATATATATAATCCTACTTAAAAGTTACTATAAAGCTAAATGACAGTTACATTCAATCAATAATCTCACCTTGCTCATTCTAGCCATGCCGTTCGGTCACAAAATGTCTGTGGCATTGAAATGTACAGCCATCCATGAAGTCTACATGACCACAGAAACCATAACCAGCACATTAATGACCGTCATACACTATAGGAGTGACCTGAAGAGTAAACGAACAAAAGGATGAGTTCAGTTGCATACTGCATTATCATATAACCCTATTCTATCGGGTGGAAACTGCAAAATGAACAGCGTTTGGACCAGCACTCCGTATGGGAGGCTTCAACATCCCGCACAAACCGAACATTCAGACTGGCACTTCTGATATGGAAAATATTGGAATGAACCGGTCTACTTGTACTAACCTTAAAAGGCAATATTGCTCATTAGTGCACTAAAATGTGACTTAGAATAGAATAATTAAAACAATAACATGGTCTTGTCTCACAAGACCAATATTTTGACAGCTGTCAAAACTGTGCTACCTGCTACTCTCAGCTTTTACAATGTGAAATGGTCACATTTTATAGATGCGTTTAACTACTATTTTTGGTTACCCTATATTTTAAGGTGTCTTTGTTACACTGTAATTATGCATTTAAGTACAGTGTAAAATTAAGCAACTACACAATAAAAAAAATGTTTAAACTTAAGTAAGTGTTAGTGCTGCCATAACTTGGGTATTTGAGTTGACTAAACTTAAAAATGTAATCCAGTGCAAACTCTTACTATTTTAAGTTGAAACAACATTTTTTTTGTTTTGTTTACAGTGTACATGTACTTACTATAGGGTCAGGGTTTGGTTTAGTATGCATTATTTATAGTTATTAGAAAAGTTTACTGCATGTAACATACAACATGTGACAATGACATTAAAATAAAGTGTTACCAAAATGTTTATTATTAAAACGTACTTATTGTGTTCATGTTGTATTTTTTGTCTGCTATTGAGGTGAGATACGGGATAGGTTAGAGACAGGTTTGGTAGTATGGTCAATTTAAAGTTTGGGTTAAGTGGTAAGGGAAGGGTAAATAAGTGCATAGTAGTTAAAAACACAATATAAAGTGAGACCAAAAATATGTTAAGGTGTCTTAAAAAAAATAAAAACTATAACTTCTCTTTTTGACAAATTAAATATATTATTATTTATTTATATAATCGTATTGAACGTAATTTTAATGTTGACCCTACAGGAAAACATAACAATTACTTTTGAACATTCATTATGGCTAAGTGCTAAAGTCTTATCGAGCAACTTTGAGGAGACTGCAATTCTAACAATGCATAAATATAAATCTCAAGATCCTGAAGACAGTTAAACAGTTTAAATATCAAATTAATCAACTACAATCTGGCATATTTTAATTACGTAATACAACTGGGGTCAATAAACAGAATCAGATTGTCAACCCTAGGCTTGTGTTCTGTGCTTTGGGCAAAGAGGCTAGAAAGTTGCTAGTGACTATGTCAGCATTACAGAGGTACTAGTGAACCTATACATTCCTGCTTTTCAAGAGTGTCTATCAGTATGGAAGAAGTTTGCAAAGTCAAGTCGTTATCACTGAAATGTCATCGTTTGACGATGTGCGGAAACCCGAAAAAAGGCAAGTGAAAGTACTCCTGCATTAAAGCTGTGCAAATATGTGAAAATCTCGAAATGATAAACAGGTTTGGTTCTGGTTATTCAAACCTACATAGTGAATCATACCGAAAACACTGTATAACAGTGTAAACAACCATGTAAACCATTGCAAAACTAGAGGAAGCTATGGCTTAGCCTTGAGCTCATTTCAAACACACTATGTGAATATATTTCCCCCCATCATAACCCTGCTGTTTTAAGCGTCAGTTCCAGTTTAGCAGAGTACTGTAACTATCATTGTTACATAAAAGCGAACGTCGTGAGGACATTTCCAGCTGTAATGATTCCACGCTAAACAGTCAAAGCCCCATATTAATATTTTGGACTAACTGCAAGATATACTATATCTGATGCCTTCTCTTTACAGTATTTACAAATGTAAAACATGTCTCTAAAATATTCATATCTATATTTTTGCAATTACTAAGGTGTTACTGCATAACAAGATGCAAAACATCTAAAGATTGCCCGTTCCTTTAACAGTTTTACTAAAAATATGAAGTTTTTTAACAAACTGTGACACAATCCGAGGATCCAGCATTGCCTGCTCGGCAGACACACATACATACGAACACGTGCGCAAGCACATACACACACTCACCCCCATCCCACTGGAAAAAGGAAGTCTGTGAAGAGATCAGCCATTATGTGTATTAAGTTTAGCTTTTTTTTCCTTTGAATATTAGAAAAAAAAAAAACGTATATTCAAAGCTACAAATAACAGACTACGCTTTTCATTTCATGCATCATATAAAATATTAGTTTCTCTTTCCTTTTGTCCATATATTTACACATTATTTTACAGGTGAACTGTACAATAAAAGTGGAATCCACACAACATTCTTAAAAATATTTTCTGACCCATAATTACTTCGACAAGTAAAATGAGGAGGAAAGAGGGAGAGAAAGAGAGAGGTGCTGTTTGTCCTGGGGGACTTCTTCGAAGTCTTGAAGCACTCGTTCTGCATAAATTAAACCTGTGAAAGAGGGATGACGGCACACACTGGGCATACGAGACGAAGGGTGTGTGATGGTGACGGCTTGCGGAAAACCAGGCGCCGCTGCTCCCTTTCCCAGCCAGCAGATAAGTTCAGCGTTCGTGGTCGGACCACTCCCAGAATTCAGCGCAAGCAGCCGTCGATCAACTACCTATAGGTGGAATAGGTCAATTAGGTCTGGCCCTTCACCTATAAGCAGTGGAAGGGTATCTGAGAGGGTACAGTACAAATACTGTTATTTTTTTTAGCTTGAAACACCCCCCTCAGAAGCCCCCCAGCATGCAAGACTGTTTTGTGTCCCTGACGTGCGGTCAGCTACTGAGGTGGCGCGTTGGAGCGGTCCGTCATGCTGTCTGAACGATGAGCTGCCAGTTGCTGCTGTAGCTGTTGCTGCTGCTGCTGTTGCTGTTGTTGCTGTTGTTGCTGCAGCTGTTGCTGCTGTTGTTGCTGCAGCTGCTGCTGCTGTTGTTGATGATGTTGTTGCAGCTGCTGCTGCTGTTGCTGATGTTGCTGCTGCAGCTGTTGCTGCTGCTGTTGCAGTTGCTGCTGTTGTTGCGTTGCAGCTGCAAAGGTGCCTTGCTGCTGCAGAGGAAACGCTGCCTGAAGGATCAGCTGGGTAGACTGGTTGCCATGCAAAAGCCGAGGGGCCTGCAGGAGGAAATGAGCAACATAAATATACATGTAGCAGAGGTGGGAGACTCGAGTCATATGACTTGACTCGAGTCAGACTCGAGTCGCAATTTTCTGGACTTGAGACTTACTTGACTAGATCTCTGAAAAGACTCGACTTGACTTTAGACTTGCTCCTTGTGACTTTAGACTTGACTCGGACTTGTGCCTATTTACTTGAAATGACTTGTGGAAAAAAAAAAATCGCAATCATTGTGTTTTTTTTTTATGCATCATAAGAGGGAGCGCGGGCGGTAATGCACTCTATGTGTGCGGGTTGAGGGAGAATAAAGCGTTAAGCGATGTAACCAATCACAGACGTGTGTTGTTTTCTTGAACGCAATGGCCAATCAGAAGCATTTACGATAGACTTCCTTCACAGCTCAAAACTGACTTTTTGTGCAGTGCTGAATACTGTATGTTGGCAAATCCTTTAATTATGGAGGTATAGAAAAAAGGCTTTTTGAGGGCAGGAGCGGGACGAAACATACATGTTGCGGGCGGGAGAAAGTATGCTAATATTGAAAGTTGAGAAGTCACAAAGACCCACGTTTTAAAAAAATTTCCAGGTTTAAATCATTTAAATGATGATACTGTTGCCGCCGGTCAGTAGCGGAGTGGCAATCCGGAGATTCAGGACTTTTCCCGGTGGGTGTTTCGAGGCCGCGAGAACCAGTCTGATTTGCAAGTTCTTAGCAACACCATCCGGCGGCATGCAAACGGTGATAGAATGAAGCGCGCGCCTGAATGAAGATGGTGCGCGAGCCGCAAAAGACCATGCAACTGATAGCAGCGAAAAAGAGAGCTCCGCTTGATTTAAAAAACAACAGATTTTAGCGCTAGATCTCTTATTTAATAGCGAAATAAATTAATTATATGCTATTTAACTGGAGATGTTTTATTTATTTTTGTATTAGCTGTCCAACTTTCACCCCAACTTTCATAGATAGCATAATTAATTTGCAAGCTGCTAAAATAAAGCATACAAAACATCAGCTAAAATGATCTATAGCCTATATGATTATAATCAGAGCATGTTTGTCAGTGATTTATTTAGATTAGGTTATTACAGCATTTAAGAAGCACAGACCTACGCAAAGGAGGTGCATGTGAAACGCCCTGTAAGAAATAGGCGTACTTTTCTTTTCAGGAAAAGTATCGAAAAAGTATCAAAATCGCGATTCTTGACTTAGTATCGGTATCGAAGCAATAATTTTGGTATTGAGTGCAAGTGAGTGCAGAACATACAAACTTTGGAACACAGTACTTTTTTTTTACCAGATGGGAAAAGTTGTATTAATTCTTGTATACTTGTGTTCATTTAATTAATTTTTATTTTAGAGCATTTAAAGTGCTTCTTAATGATATTTTATTAATTACACACAAGTTAATTTATTTATTTTTGTAACCCATCAGCCTTCTGTGTCTAAATAAAGTAAAGTCCCAGAGTTAAAAAATGTGTAAAACTAGCCTGTGTGCGACTTGGTATGACTTGATGACCAAGTTGCGACTTGACTTGACTTGACAAAGAGTATACAACAGAATGACTTGACTTGACTTGGACTTGCAATGTTAAGACTTGGACTTGACTTGAGACTTGCATTTAATGACTTACTCCCACCTCTGGTAAGCTGTATTCAGTAAACAGTTTAATCAGTAAGCTGACCAACTGGGAATGCTATGCTACAGTGAAGGAGTCATCAATGCTGAGGTTCTCAGTTCTCTGCGTGGTACCTGTAGGAATTGTGTTTGCTGCTGGGTGAGCTGAGCCTGGACCTGTCCTTGCTGTTGGGCTGTTCCTGTAGCTGTCTGCGACTGCGTCTGAGCCTGCTGCTCCGGCGTCTGTGCAGGCGGCTGCTGGGTGATGCTGATTGTTTGAGGCTGGCCCTGCTGCGGGGCAAAGGCAGTCACCACCTGCCCCATGAACATGGTGGTAGGCACCATAACCGCACCACACGCCATTGGGCCGGTTACTAGCTTAGTGAGGAGCTGTTGGGCAGCAGGGAACCTGTGTGAGGCAGGAGGACAGGATTTTAGTTATAAGTTTCTTTTCAAATGTTGGGACCGGTTTTACTGTGACAGGGGTCCCCAAGAATGTTTTATTATTCATCAGAAATTAACCCAGTAGGTTTCCATAGCCTCCAAATGATATGTACACATACATATACATACACATACGTATACATTTTTTAATAGTAGTCTTTTAAAAAAGCATCTGAAAGAATAAACTAACGTTACTGTTGTCAGAAATCTCTGATATGCTTCCAATACTCATTTCCGCAGAATAGGTACACGATACAAGCTGTGCTTTCTCACTCTCTCATGATCTCTCCAACAGCTAGTTGACACACAAACCCGCCTCCACTCAAACACTCATTTCATTAGACTATTGTTGGTGTTACAGTGCCTGAATTTGTGTATTGCGCATAATTTTACTCATTCCCACAGATTCTGTGCTCACACCCAAAGTACACGCACATAAAGCTTCCTATCAGTACTAAATTGAGTTATTTTTCACTGCTTATTGACCTTAAATAGTCAAATACACACATGCTGGTTGGCGAGTATTCATGAAAACAGCCAGTTATGTTTTAAGTGAATAAAGTTGAGAAAGAAAATACATGTGTAAAAGTATAATGAATCCGTGTGTTAGCTCTTAAAGTGACTGCAGCCTAATATACCCATTACCAAATTATGAGATAATATTAAAAATATCAATATGGCAGTTATTCTTCATGGTTTCGGTCAAAATTGTGGCCATTCAGGAAAAAAGTTAATGTCAATTATGTATCTTTTAAGTTAGTCTAGAATTCTAATGCGCAAATTTAGCCGTATATGTGTGCTTTATGTTTATGATGAGTCAAAGTGTCAGTGTGTGTTTGTAATAGTGCTACATGTACCGTATCTGCCGGTCTTGTGAGAAGGTGGCGACCGCGGCTCCGCTCGGGCTGCTGTTCTGGGCCAGGCTTGTGGCGATCTGCACAACATTGGCCTGCGCCGGCTGAGAGATCATCATGGTATTATACAAAGATGCCGGCAGTGCTCCCTGAGGAGACTGCAACGTGTGAGACGACCTCTGAGACTGCTAAGAAACAGACAGAGAAAGAAAGACTTGATATTAGATTATAGTAGGATGATTACACACAATATAATAATATATTATACACTTACTTTTGCATTTGATAGAGGGATGTATTATCTGAACATACCACAGATCAGTCTTTGATGTTTTTGGATTTAAAAATTAATGAAAAATGTTTACTTCCCTGTGCTTTTGTCATTTTTATTTATTTACTATTTAGGTTTAATTTAGTTTCAGTGCAGTTTTAGTTTTTATTTATTTAGGGTAACTTATTTCAGTTATTTGCCAAAACAACATTTCTAATACACATATACTATTTATATATTTTATCACAGTTTTATTTCAATGAACAGAAAATATAAAAAAATTGTTTTAGGGTTTAGTTAATGATAAGAACCTTGTAAAGCAGCACTGAAATACATTTTTCAGTCATTTTTCAGTACTGTGATCGACCTCTCCATTGAAGCTTCATATGTGCATTTTAATATGCTGAACATAGAATTTAATATAAATATTAAGAAACATATTATGTTTCTTCTCTATCACCTGAGTAAGGGTGGAGCTCTGATCTCTGAGAAGGTTCTGTTGCTGTGGCAGAGCCTGCTGAGGATGCTGTGTGACAGTGTGTTGTGTCCCCGTGTGTGTGGATTGCAGGCCGCTTTGTAGGCTCCCCGCCGGCACCACAGCCCCCTGCATGGACAAAGCGCCCCCTGGCTGCACGGACGATCCCTGCGTCAGCTGTACTGAGCCGAGGTTGAGACTGCCGCCTCCTGGCTGCAGGAACATCTACATACCCAAACACAAGGGTGTCAATTTGAGGCAGAGAGTGCACATTTAAACAAAAGCTAGGGGACCCTCTCACCTGTAAGCCCTGCCCTTGAACCCTTTGCAGCTCATCCTGGATTTGCCGCAGTTCTACTTGTTGTCTGTGGATGTTGGCCTCAATCATGCGTGTTCGCTGTTCAAGCTGCTCCTTGAGATGCTGCATTGCATCCATTTGTGTGGAAAACTGGATAACTGGCTACAAAACAATAAACAGCACCAGGTCGAAATTAATAATAATATTAATAGGCGTTAAGAGTTAACACTACCAGCACAATACAGGTCTTCAGAACTTATTCAATAGATTAGCAAATATCTACATTATATTTTATTCTGTGTATATATATATATATATATATATATATATATGTTTTTATAATGTTTTAAAAAGAAGTATCATATCCTCATCAAGGCTGTTTATTTGATAAAAAATACAGGGAAAAAAGTAATATTGTAAAATATGATTAAATAATAAATAGAAAGTATAAAAGATTAGCATTTATTTGAAGCAGAAATCTTTTGTAGCATTGTCTTTACTGTCGCATATGATTAATTGAATGCATCCTTGCTGAATACAAATATTTATTTAAAGATTTACAATTGGTAAATTGTAGACGAGTTATGGTGAATAATACCACTAGTGTTGGGTATCGTTTGAATTTTAGCGTTGCAATTCCAATTCTGCTCATCAATTCTAATTCGATTTTGATATAGACATTTACATATCAAATAAAATATTTATGTCTTTTTGCAAAACACTCTGTTGGCAGCTGAATACCATAAACAATAATTCTAGTAATAAACTAGACTAAATAATAAACTAACTGATATAAATTTCAAATAGTATTAAAGACAAATATACAGTCAGAAATACAATAAAAATAAACACGAAAATTAGCAATATCACAAATAAAAACAATATTTGTGTGTAGTTTTCTTTTTATAAATAAAATAGATTAATCCTTAATTAATCTTACAAAGGTTATTAAGTCAAGATCAGTATTTTTTTTCTTTAATTAACATTAACAACACACGTTTATGTTAATGTAAATGTAAATGTTAAAACGTTTTGTCAAAAGCTAATTTATTAGGCTGCTGTCACTTTAAGTTTGAATGCACAGATCACCTATACTGTTACACATACATTTTCCCATTTAAGTGAACTGTTTACGTTCACTTAAGACATAACCACCTGTGTTTACGAGGCTATTTTGATATACATTTGTACGTATTTGTCCGTTCACAAGCAAGAGGTGTGAAGTGAGTGCCAAAAAAGTGCCAAATTGATCTCTTTTGCGTCTTCTTGCACTTGAATGGTTTAAAACCACTGAGACCACTCGCACTCCCTCTAGTGACACCAGGAACTAAAAGACCCATATCAGTCCAACACTGATTTGCAAGAGTGATACTAGTGAATGCAGTAATATGGATGTTGAATTACCTGCACAGTGGGCTGAAGTGGTTGAGGCTGCTGAGGCTGAGACACAAGAGATGTTGCCATTGTCTGTCCTGTGTTCTGAGAACTCATTGACTGAAGAGGGACGACACACAAGGTCAAAACTCCCACATATGTAAGAGGTGACAATTTTATTTCATGTCCAATTTTTTTGACTTTTTAATCCAAATTTTTTGTTTATTTCCATGTTAAATTGGGTTTTGTGTGTCGGCTCTACTGTATTTCTGATGATGATGATGATGACATGTACCAACCTGACTGCTAATGGAGGACCTCCGCTGTGATGTCATCTCAATGGCAGATACTGATTGGCGGGGTGGTGTGCTATGGTCTGTCTGCAGCTTTGTCTGTGTAGCTACAGACACACAAACATACATGGGCCAGTCACACTACTGAAATTTGTGTAAACATCTTAACATGCAGTGGCTGTGTTGCTTACCAACACTGTCTCTCTTTGGTATGGAATACGTACATGTGGGGTCCGAGACGGCGGTGTGTGAGGAGGACTTGCGGGAACTCCGTGATGAGGCAGAGGGTGTGCGGCTGCGATCGAATCGCTCTAGTGCCTCCTTCAGGCTGGAGGTGTTTAATTGGGACTCAGAGCCGGAGTCTTGAGACTGAGAGGAGTGAATAGGAGTGAGGTTAAAGTTAAGATCTATCAACAACATTTGTGCAATAACGTTGCTTACCACAGAAAATAATTATGGGGGAAAACATCCCTTAAAAATAAATTTGTATTAATATAAAAAAAATATATACACACAAACATACACATATATACATGTATAAGAATATGTATATATGTGTAAGTGTATCTCTCTAGACGCATCAGTAATGTTTTTCTAAGGAACATTCATAAAAGCCACTTAAATGGCGTAATTGAAGGCCTAATCCTGGCTTAATCTAAGCCCTGTCTGTGAAACCAGGCCCAAAAACGTACATTTGTATAATATATTTACTTATTAATATTATTTTTCACATTTGCCTGTTATATTTTGTGGATGAATGGGAATTCAGGATTGAATAAATAATTAATAAAAAAGGAACAAAATAAATGTCTTAAATGTATACAAGAAAATATTAAATATCAAAATAAAAACGACATTTTACATTTAATAATTTAGCTGACGCTTTTATCCAAAGCGACTTACAATTGCTATATATGTCAGAGGTCGCACGCCAGTTGAGGAATTGCGGTTTAAGTTTGGTTTCAAGAGAAAGATATTGGTCAGGACCCACACAGACCACAGGGTGAGCATCCCCCTGAACTGAAAGTGTCTCACCTTGTCTGCTGAGATCTCAGGAGGCGACTCCTCAATGCCCAACTCCCTGCGCTGTTCAGCCCTCACTTCAGCATAACTAAGACAAAAAAATAAATAAAACTAAGAAATTCTCTATAAAGAGTAGCACCATTACGCTTTATAGGGTTGTGCCTGGTTAGGATTCAGTGTAAAACCACAAAATGACAGCTGTTCCTTTCTTGTTAGTAGTTATCCAATCAAACTTTACACGTTCTGAAAGTCTCACCTGACCACAGTGTGTGTGCAGACGATGAACTCAGGCCGCGAGTTCCACTGGTGGTAGGTGATATAGTAGTGAGTCTGAAGCCAGATCCACTGCTGACCTTTAGTCAGAAAACGGTAATAGCACGACTTTCCCTTACCGTACTGCATCACTACAGACACACACACAGAGAGAGAGAGAGAGAGAGAGAGAGAGAGAGAGAGACAGAACTCAAGACAATGTCATTCATACATAATTTTTAAACTTTAGAAGTAGGGAGACACAGTCAGGTACACACAAATACAAACAGTAACTCAACTCACAGTGTTCATGGCACTTGGCCAGAGTCTCCAGGTCATCCACGTGATAGTAGTCGTACCCTGAAGTACCCAGAACCTCAAAGGGTAGGTAACCAATGATGGGGGGAGCCCTGCAAAACACAACACAAACAACTTCACATTATCCGCATGCAAAACACGTTCATTGACTAGTCAGTGATGAAAAAGATTTCAAATAGTCAAAAAACTATATAAAATACATAATTCTATAAATTAACTGCTTGTTGAATAATACAAAACTGTGTGACTTTTTTGTGTTTCATTTTAACAACACACAAAAATCCTTCAAAATTATTACAATTTGTCAAGTTCCTGAAAAAACCCTTGTGCCCTATACCGGTATATCACCTTTATGACATTTAATTATTTATTTACATTTTTTCAGTACTCAAAGTCAAACAAGACTAACAAAATAAGTTTAATTAATAACCTTGTTAATGAATACCCTGGAACCATTGGTGATATCAATTTTAAAAACATGTTTTAAAATTATTATTGTAAAATTATTTCCGAGGTCAAAGCTCAGACCTCAAAGAAGCTCCACATGGTGATTTTTTCCAAAATAATAAAAGTTAATAAAGTTTTTAATTTACAACATTTTTTTAAATGTATTTGTGTTCATATAGTTTCAAACGTTTTAAATATTATAATTTACTGATTTTAATCTGATTATTCATCTTTTATTCACCGGCATGTGTTTTGGGATTATACTGACACACCACATTAATAAAATAATAATAATGTTTTATTTAATTGATTATGAAATAAAACAAAGCAATGAAAAAGCACAAAGGCCAAGATGTACTTTTTGACTAGAAATTTCAAAATGTTTTAGAGGAGAAAACTAAACTGACCTGAAATTAAAACGGGGAACAGATTGTCAGGCATTCCTTGAGTCACATGTTTTAGCATAAAATGTTTTAGGATAAAAAGATCTGAAGTGCCACTAGCTTCTGCTAAACAACTGATAATGTGGAAAATCGTATTAAATCGCTTTAAAATCTAGCATCTGTGCTGATTAAACCGAATCCTTGATTTGAACTATATATAGAGTAGCAGTAACACCAGCAGCTATTTTTCCAAAACGACTCGTCTAAATTTAGTATAAACCTTTCCAAGCATAACAGTATTAGATTTTATAGAGAAAATTATGTTTATGCTACTCCAGATGTACAAGCCTTTGAGCCAGTGGGATGAATGTGAGCTATTGATAATTCGGAGATATACTGTGTGCTAACAAAATGTAAGCATGTACAATAAACACATGCTCAAAAACTGAGATTGCTACATTATATTTCTCAGCAATGAGGGGGTAAAATTGCTGTTTTTAAGTAATTAAACTCACAGCTTCGTTGTTAATAGAGGGAGATTCTGAACAGATAAAGGTCTCTTTCTCTCTCGCTTTCTCTCTCTCCCTCTCTCTCTCTCTCTCTCTGTGTGTGTGTGTGTAATTTATTCAAAGTTATATAATTCATTCATTCAAATAAATGTAATCGTGAATAAATGTAAAAATGTAATTGTCATTGCTAGCTAATGACCATAGTATAAGCAGGATATTCCATGGCTCAGTGCTTCGAGTCGGGTGGTTCTTTGCCTAAACGTAGAGCATTAAAATCGGTTAAAGCCGTAGATTATGCCTTGCTTGATTGGCCATATTTTTATGTTTGGTTTGTCTTGTTTTAAAACATTTTAAAAGATTAGTTCACCTCAAAATGAAAATTTCCTGATAATTTACTTTCTGTCTTTCTTTCTTCCGTGGAAAAGAAATTAAGTTTTTTAAGGAAAACATTTCAGGATTTTTCTCCACACATTGGACTTCAAGCAACATGAAGTGCTTTAAAAGGCTCTGCGCGTTCCCAGTTGAGAAATTGGGTCTTATCTAGCGAAACAATTGGTCATTTTCTAAAAAAAAAAAAACTTTTTAACCACAATTGTTCGTCTTGTACTGGTTTGCGACGCGCTAGGGATTACGTCATGATGTTTGGAACTTGGAACGTCATCAATCTGTCTTTTTTTTCCCTGTCTTTCAACTAGTAACACACTGACATCGTTAGATATTTAGTCATGAAATCAGAGACCCTTGTCCTTGAAATCTGATCGCAAGTAGTCACAGGTAAGTAAAATATTTTTCGTCTGACCTCTAGTGATCAGATCACCTGAGACAGATCTAAACACCCGGTGTAAGCAAGGTCTAAGTGAAACAACAAACTAGCAGAGGTACTCTTGAGTTTTTCTGGAGGGGGAAGATGATGCGTGCTCTTGACAAAGAGCTGATAGCAACACAAAACCAGTCGTGAGAACAGATGAGGTTTGTACCTGTGGTCCAAGAAGAGGAATTTCCACTCTAAACTGTGTCTGGAGGTGAATTCCTCATTGGGCTCCTCTACAGTACACATTTCCTGTCGAAACAGAAATTATAAACAGGACCATTCGAACTAGCAGACAAAAAAAAAAAAAAAGGTGAACAGAAACCAAGTGACCTACTTCTCACACTGAGTGTTTTGTTTGCTGGTCATTTATCAGTGTCTTCAAAAACAGAAAAGCTAATTCTTGCACAAACATGTACAGTGTCTATCAACACACCCACACAGACATTCATCTTTTGTCATGATGAAAATGTACACAGCAGATCTCACTGAGGTTGTCACTGTCTGCCAGGCTAATGTTAGAAGTCACAGGACCAATGAGAAAGTGCTCAACCCACCTTGATAAACTGAGGTTTGGCTAACCTCACAGTTGCTATGAAACACACTCTGTCTTCAAAAGCGGGCCTCAGCGATCGCTGGATCACTCCCTCAAAGCCGTTACGTGTTGAGTTAGGCACTAAAGACAAAAAGACAAGCGAATCTTCATAAATGAACGTTTTTAGAAATAATGCTTATTTTCTTCAGCCTACCACTAGGGGGCAGCAAACTGTGAGGAAACGTCAAACACTTTTTTGTATTTAAAACAGCAAGCTGCTGCAGTGTTCATTTTGACACGTCATTAATGTTTTCTCATGAAAATGTCTGTTAAATTGAGTCAATATTTCATGATCATATTCATTCATTTTACTATAACTAAAATGGGAAATGTGCGCACACACACGTTTTCATGTCTTATGGGGACTTTCCATAGTCATAATGATTTTTATACTGTACAAACTTTATATTCTATGCCCTTACACTTCTATCCCTAAACCTACCCATCACAGAAAACATTTTTACATTTTCAATGATTTTCTAAAAAAAATGTTCCCACAAGGACAAGGATTTTGAATATTGCTATCTTTGTGGGAACATTCTGTCCCCATAATCTAGGATTTACCAGGCCTCCCACCCACCCACACACACACACACATATAAAAATTCAAAACTGTCATGGTATCTCTTTGAGAAGTTAAACTACCATTCAAATGTTTGGGGGCAGTACGATTTTTAATTCACCATTGACATTTTAAGTTAATACTTTAAGAAATACTTTAAGAAATAATGTTACAAAAAATTATGTTCATAATTTTTAAAATAAAAAATAAGTATAAGTCTCCTCAAATTATTAATCAACTTTTTCAACATTGATCATCAGAAATGTGTCTTGTTCACCAAATCAGTACATTAGAACCATTTCGGAAGGATACATACACAAAAGGATAAATACACAAAAATATTTGAGTAAAAATAACACTTCAAACTGTGACACACACAAGTTTTTCCATGATTTAATTTTATTTAAAAAATTTATTAATCTGTCAAGCATTTAGCATATAACGTATTTGACATATTATATTTAATAGATTTAAGAATTGTCCAAATGAAAACCTGAACTTTTGAAATAATAGCCTTAGGTAAAATCTACTTTAAAATTTTAGTTAAAAATGATTTAATTGTCATTGTGGAGTGTCTTTGTTGTCTTATCTCTATTGTTGCAGAAAACAAAAACCTTCATTAAAAAATATTTTTATCAGTAATTTAATCAACAAAACTGCTTCCTGTGGTAAATACTTCTTAAAGGTGAAAAGTTTTAATATTCCACCATCAACTATAATTAAGTCTATGTGATTCCCCTGGGGGAAAAACTGTGAACACAGTGGCTCTGTGGGGAAACAACTCTCTTGTTTGATCATCCTAACCAATAATGGCTCCACCAATGGTGTGTGTTTAGGACAAGGCACACACACACACGCACACACACACACAATATATATATATATATATATATATATATATATATATATAGTGTGTGTTTGTGTGTGTGTTTGGTGGAGCCATTATTGGTTAGGATGATCAAATATATACATATATATAAGCACACACATCATTTTTGTAATTATATTTCCTGACACAAGTCAAATTACACACTTCATCTCTAACCACAAATGGTAAACTTTCCGTCTTAAAATCTGGGTCAGAAGCCCGTTTCTCTGGCACACTGGCTTTACACAACTCTTCCTACTGAAATAATGATCCTTGCTCCATCTTCTTTCATAGGAAACACAAGCAATCAAGCACTTGGCTGGGTAATTCAATAAATGGATCCATATGAAAGACTCGGCTGATGCCGCGGGTGCTCATTTTGACACTCACCAGTGTTGAGGGACTTAAAGTTTCCGATGAACTTGACATACTCATAAACGGGCGGCTCTTTCGGGTCGATCGTGCCCCGGAGCATGTGGCAACAGAACTCTAACTGGTTCTTTGCTGCAGGGAAGCAAACAAAACAAGAAAACAGCATTAACAAGCTCTAGTCTGGTCTCAGAAATAAGAAAAGAGAACAGAGGACACAGAAAGAGAATGAAACCAATGCTTTGGCCATGAGGAGATGACAAACATGTATGAGAGTGATTCTTACTCTTTAGATAGTCTGGGGTGAGGGTCTCTCCTTCCAGCATGTGTGTGGACAGGGCTTTATACACCTCCGAATGCTCACCAAGTGGGAGGAAATTCAACAGATTCTGATCCACAAGATCAGACTGAAAACACAACAACAGACTTTGTCAGTATCTCTGTGTATGGCAGTGTTTAAATTGCTGGAGGTTGCGGAGTTATTTTTTTTCTAGAAAACATTCTGTATCAACCATTGTATTCATAACTGATCAGGTGACGGACAACTGCACAACCTTTAGTGGTCGCCGCACTGTGCCAATGCTCATTTCCATTTAATGTTATGAAAAAAACTATTTCAAATAAAAGCTGTTCTTTTGAATTCTTTCTATTTAACAAAAAAGAATGTATTTACACATTTATATTTTTCAACAGTGCCAATAAAAAAATATTTCTTAAGGAGCAAATCAATACCAATATCAATTGCTCGCTCCCCGGGCACCACAGTGAATGGCTGCCCACTGCTCCGGGTGTGTGTGTCCACGGTTTGCAGTGTGTGTCTTCACTACTCACTGCTCCTAATGTGTATGCACTATCTTAGATGGGTTAAATGCAGAGGACAAATTCCGAGTATGGGTTACCATACTTGGCCTTCACATCTCACACACAAGAATGATTTCTGAAGGATCATGTGACACTGAAGACTCAAGTAATGAGGCTGAAAATCCAGCTTTGCCATCACAAGAATAAACTACATTTTTAAATATACTAAAATTGCAATAATAACATTTCCACAATATGACTGTTTTACAGTATTTTTGATTAAAAAAAAAATGAAGTGTGTTCATACTCACAGGTAGATGTTCTAATAAAGACGTAACGCTTTCTGAGACGTAGATTATGTTGCCGTCCGTCATGATGGCCAGAAAGAAGCCATCTAAAGCCTAAAATAATGAAGCAATGAAGAATATCCATAATACTGTAGTTTTAGCGTTTACTGAATTAATACACATGAGTAGGGGCTTTAGGAAAGTGTGTGTGTGCCAGTAAGAGATAGTCCTCACCTCCAGCATCAGCTGTGTGAACTCCTCATTGCTAAGGAAGGGCGGCTTCCAGTCCTGACGGATTTCACTTGACTCAGACTGCGCAGCAATTTCTGATGGTAAGACAATACAAACAACAAGAGTTTGGTTTCAAAAACAGGTTTATTTTCATCAGGTTAAAAAAAACGAAATGTCTGATTAATTATAAAATGTTTACTTTATAGCAGAATGAACTCAGTGCATAGTACTTGTCAATATTAGCACTGTAAAACAGGTTTGTTTTTATCGTTTTGAATCTCTTTCAAAAGTGGTATCGTGCCCAAAAATAATACCAAAAGCAATCCTTCCATTTGAGGAATATAGGAGCAACTAAAAGATGTCCTAATTTCTTTGGAGGTGCCTGTAAAATCTTTTGACTGCTGCACTAATATTCCAATTTGTTGTATGCAGACTAATTGTTGCATGCAGGCTTTTGTCTATCAATAAGACTATATCAGAAATATCTATATGTTGAATGAGAAAAGCAAACTGTGGTGGAGGTTTTACACGTTTTACGTGTCATCAGGCTCCTTCCTGTCTAAGTGGATGGTTCTTGGCCAGAATACATCGATAGTAACTAGTCAACTAAACAATTACAGAGAAAAAGTTGGATGTCAAAAATGTTGGATACATTATTGATTGAAAATATGAAAATGTTTTTTTTTTCTTTTAGTCAATGTATTTTCAAAATGATAACTGATCTAAAACACATGAAAAAAAAATCGAGATCTAAAAATATCTGGTAAATAATAATTGGTATGGCACTGCAGTAACCTTTGTGCTTGCGCAGGAAGTCGATGCTCTTTTGTAGGATGGTAGACTTGTCCATCTTGCGGGTGTTTCCCGGCAACATGGTGCCCAGTTCCTTGATGAGCACATTGAACTGGTCTCGCCTCTTCTTTTCCGACTTGTTCCTAGATACTCTGTAGGTGGAAAAACAAGAGGTGGAAAATTCCACACAGAGGAAATCAATTGTTGACTTTAAGATAATAAGATAATGACATAATTTCATTGGTATTTCAGATACTTTCAACGTCAAAGTTGAGCTCTAAAATGCACGTGCATTCTTAAATTCTTCAATTTACCCCTAAAAGTGATAATGGGACACTATCTGATCTGAGAAAAATCTTGCAATGCTGAGAGAAACCATTTCACGGTTCTGTGATTGTATACAGAAGATGAGGGTGAATCTGTGCACTAAACAGTCATAACTAGGTCACACTTAAGTTTCTATTCCTGATGCAAAACCACTTTAGACATACTGCCGTGGAAAAGGACTTGTCTATACAATCCTCTAGCTGACTAGTGTAATGAATCACGTTTAATCCATTCTTGCATGAGATAATGGAGTGAGGGGGTTTTCTTGGGTAAGAGAAAGAAATTCCCATTAAGCAACCATAATCATAAAGTTTTGTTTGTATAATCACCTTTTTGCTTTGTCCTTCTCATCTTCTTCCATCAACCCATCAAAGATACTGCTGTCATCCCTGAAAAGAGACCAATAGTAAAAACGGTTAGACCAGCTTGACCAATGTGAGCTCTACCTACTGTAACTGTATCAAAGACGGCTTCATTTTCCACCCATCCCAGTGTTAGTGGGATTGTTCCCCCCAAAAATAATGAATAATGAGGAACTGAAGCTTTCAAGCTTTCTTCTAAAGTCATATGATAGCTTTGTGTGAGGAACAGGTCGAAAAATTAAATCATTATTCATTGTTCAATGTTCACCAAAAAAGAAATATTCTGCCAATTAATCATTCTTTTCTAAACGCATAAGACCAAAACTTAGATCTTACTTTTTAATCAAAGTCTTCTGAGGAGACATGATCACTTAAAATGATGAACAGATTTAATATAGGCTTTTATTCACATATAAACACTGAACAACGCTAATTCATAGGGCACATCAGATATGGTATCGGAAGCTCAAACATGCTTGAATTTCTTTTTGAAGCGTCAATGTTTTTATGGAATGGCCTTTCACTGGAGGGACAGAAATCGATCATGTTTTGTTAAAAGTATCGGTCACACTTTAGATTAGGGTCCAGTTCTCACTATTAACTAAGATTTTTTGCCTCAATAAACTCCTAAAATTGGTTTATTAATGTTTGCAAGGTAGTTGTTAAGTTTATGTATTAGGTAGGATTAAGGGATGTAAAATATGGTCATGTAGAATAAGGCATTAATAAACAGCCAAACTAAACTAAAGTGTTACCAAAATAGCCTATCTTTATTTGTGTTCCCAAGATAAACAAAAGTCGTATGGGTTTGGAACGACATAAGAGTAAGTCAATGATAACAGAATTTTCAATTTTAGGTGAACTACCCCTTTAACTGCTGAAACAACAAATCATGAACAAATCATTTGAAATGGTTTTATGATCTGCAAGATCAAACTCAAAAGGGACAATTAATTCCCTGAATCAAATATTGCTGATGCTTGAATCCAAGCGGCAACATTCTAATCTGAAAAATGAAGCCTACCCGGAAGTGCGAAAAACTGCAAAACATCGAAAATCCACTAGAGGCCGGTCCCAAAAGGGAGCAAATGTTAAAATGTCCATTTTCACAGGATAAATTCATGCTTTTACAGGTTGGTCCCATGGACTTTTATATTTTTCGATAGGTTACGAGTGCTTGACAACTGTGAGGGGCGTGAATTTTTTTCTAACTCGTTAGTTTAGATCGTATTTAGATTTAAAATATATCACAAATAAGGGCGGTTAACTTTGATTGACAGCTGATAACGGGCTGCGCTGAGTGGAGTTTGACGTCTCGGAGTTTGATCAGACACAAAACATCATACCATCTCCTTCATACTACCATCAACCATCATACTATCCTTTCTGAACATTTGTATTTTGTATTTCCCAAGATTTTCCAGTATGGCACCGCCCATACCCCCCATAAACAGCCTCATCTATGGGACGCTTTGTCCATATTTTTTACAGTCTATGCTTGAATCATTATCCTGACATTCTTTCTGTCCCCATTCATTGTAATTGCATGGAAAAGAGCAGCCAGAACAATCTTCAACATGTCCTCTTTTCACTGGGGGAAAAAAAAAACAATCATAGAGGTTTGGAACGACATGAGGGATGGTAAATGAGTGAGCGAGTTAATGAGGAAATAGAAAAACGACTAAACCGAGAAAATGTTTAAGCTATTTCTGCTGATGCCCCACAATATTTCATCATAATCAGATCAGGCAATAAATCATTGATAAAACAGGCAGTAGGTCAGCAGTGGAGGTGGCAGTGAGAGGCGGACATAAAGATCTGTAGGGGCAGTGTCTCTGTGTGTGTCCGTATATATTTAGATACCCAGGGTTCTCTGACTCAGCTGCTTTGTGAGCACAAGACAGAAAGCGAGACCAGCTGGTCATGGCAGAGGATCTGAGAACAGTTTGTAATAGTTTGGGTTTGGGAAGACATGAGGTCGAGTGAGTAAATGACAGTTTATTTATGATCTTTTGAAGGTCATCTCAACACGACAACAATCAATCTTTTTCAGCTTTGAGATAATTAGTCTTTTGCATAGGGTGTTCAAATGTGTGTCTCTGGAACTGCACAGATCCCAATGACCTTTCATTTATTGTAATATTGTGCATATCTACACGCATCACTCTATAGGTAGAGTGATGCGTGTACATGTGAATTAGGGTTTGTGCGCGAGACAATATACAAGTCCAATGAGTGCATATGCAACCATATGCAACCATACGAGTGTATTTGCAAAGTTACAAATTAATGAGTGCAAACAACATGCTGGGTAAATAAACCAATGTGCATTTTGCTCTGCCGCTGGGTGTCCATTACCAACATTCTTACATAAATAATCCAGAGTTTGCCCCAGTCCATTTGCATTAATGGTTGTGTGACTGTGTGTTTGAGCGAGGAAGCACCCACTGCTCGAATAATGTCACATGATACAGTATGTTCGATATTATTGCTGCATGTGAAAACTGAAAACTGCATTTTCAATTTAGAATAGAGATATGCAGTTTAAGAGGAAACAGAAAAAAAATGAAGTTAAAAAAATATATGCAAATAATGTCTAACATCTATTAGCGATTCTAAAAATACACTGATGTCATTTGGCTGCCAAACTAAAACATATTTATATCAGCTCTGTGAATACAAAGCCATCTGATTAAAATGGTGTCGGCTTACAATATAATGAGGTAAGATTGACTAAGAAAATTTAAAAGAGACAATTAGTATGAAAGGAGTCAGAAAAAGCTAAATATTTTCCCATAATTTCCATTTATATTGTGAACAGAAAACCAGTGAAATTGTTTTTTTCCCATATGTATTTATTTTTCTAATTAGGGGCTTGCAAAGGGGCTTACAAATGCCTTGTCTCTAAAAATAAAAATATCCATTATGTTTTAGTCAGCACTACCATTCAAAAGGTTACTTTTGATAAGATTTTTTTTTTACGTTTTTGAAAAGAAAAGCGGCAAATCTTGTGCTCTTTTGTGCTCATTAAAAGCAGCATTTATTTTATAAAAACATATATAGTAATGATTTCAATTGAAAATAATTGTTTTCTATTTTAATAAATTTTAAAATGAAATGTATTCCTGTGATGGCAGAGCTGAATTTTCAGCATCATTGCTTCAGTCTTCTATGCCGATTTACTGCTCCTGAAACATTTCTTATTAGTATCAATTTAGAATTTTTTTTTTTTTTTTAGGATTCTTTAAAGTGGAAAGTTGAAAATAACATAATTGATCTGAAATATAACTCTTTCATAACGATTCATTCTTTATAGTCACTTTCGGTGAATTTAATGAGTCCTTGCTGAATGAAATAAGTTATTTCCAAAAAAACATCCTTACTGAGCCCAAACGTTTGAACAGGAATGTAAAACCACAGCCACAAACCATGATTGTCTACTTTCTACTGCTAATCAGAAGTAGATTTTATGAGGTGTAAACATTCATTAGCAAGCTTTTTATCAAGGAGAAACAAAAACTGAAGAAAAAAAAATCTATATTTTTTGTGTGTTTTTCTAGAAGAGAAAGACTTTGTTAAATGCTTATTAATTCGGAAGTCAACTTTTAGGAGTAAACTAACATACATATATCAATTCTTACATTTATTCATTACAAATAAAAGAGAGGACACATATTTGTTGAACATAAGATGCATTTAGTACGTTTTCCAGCCTTTGAGCCATAGTACAACGACATTATGTATTGCATTTGAACGCTTCGGTTGCATTTGTAGCCACACACTCCACATTCATCTTTCACTTCCAAATGCGTCACTGCGTCTGCCACTACAGCCTCGTGCATGACACACAGCCAGCATTAGAGATTGTGTATCGGCTCATGACTGAATGACCTCATTCCACACCTGTCTTTAGGCTTAAAGTTGCTGCATCTAAAAGTCCTTCCACACAGTGACGGGATACACACACACACACACACACACACACACTCACAAATTAAACTGAAAGGCGAGCTGTAATTGTTTTGAAGACACAAACAAGTCCATTAGTCACTGCACGCTCATTGTGTGGCATTTTCTTTCTCACACAATATATCCAACTACCCTAGGAATGACTTGTTTTGAACATGCACCTCATTTAAGTATGCTGCAATTAAGCTAATTTCAGCTAATTTTATACCACAAAAACAATGCAGTGCTTGTGGATTAATTTCACAGTTCTCACACGAACATACACGCATAGAGAATGTGGATGGCTGATCATTAACTTTAATAGTGTTTGTGTCGGGAGAGAGACAGGGTGACTGTTTTAATTTTCTATCTTCCCGATTCCAGTAAAGCAAACACAGCAAGAGTTGACCACAACAATGCAATAAAGATGTCAACTGATGACAGAAATCTAGTTTCAAAGCACAGCATTTTTATCACAATGCATACACAGAGGCTCAACGTGCCTTGAATAGAGTGGTGCAGGAATGACATCACTTTGTAGGCCAAAACTCGGAAACGAGTTAGGATTTTAGCACTTCTGGTTCCATTGTCCCAAAGTCAATGTTTTTTTTAAATGGCAGAAATAAGGTCTGTGGTGAACACAAGCTCAAGACACTTTCACATTTTACTCTAAATCAGTACTATTTTATAAGCTGTTACTGTAGATGTCTTGAAAACGGTGGTTGCTAACAAGTGGCTAAATGGGACTACAGAGGCTGTTGAGGAGATTTCTCGTCCTCACGCCGAACAGGTAAACTTTTACAGTTGCTTGGTACGCTTTTACAGTTCGTTATGCTTATAAATGTGCTCTAATAAACTATTCCAAATCAAGCTTAGCGATGGTGACGTTGAAGTCGTGGGACCTGCGGTGTGGTTCGTTTATAGCCTATCTTTGGCTTTTTACTTCTGGCGACTGCATTTAGGCTTCAAAATTCATAAAAGTTGTGTTCATATGTGATAATTATCTTGATGGACAAAACGTGCAAGTATCATAAACTTTTGTTGTTCACAGAGCTTTTTTTTTTAGCGATGATCCAAAAGCCTATGGGAAAATCCTATTGGGTTTTTGTCGAGGGAGCCAGTGTGATGTTAACTTCCTGTTAGCTCTTTGCTGAGGGTCAATTACCCTTGATGTTTATCAAATGTTTATTGTCATCAAAGGACTAAAAAAAGAGAGTATAATATTATAGTGCTGCATGTTTACCAAAAGGCATATATTACAGACACTGGCAAATATTTAACTATAAGCCAACAGAAAAACATAATTTAGCAGTGTTGGCCACAAAGTACACTTCCTGATTGACCATTGTTTTTCAAATGAGATCCAAATGGCAATGTCACTGCCAGAAATTAAATTAAGATACATTTAATAGAAGAGTTCATCCAAAAATGAAAATGCTGTCATCATTCACAACACTGTTCATAAGTTTGGGGTTAAAAAAAATTATGCTGAAAATTCAGCTTTGCAATCACAGGAATACATTAAAAGGATAGTTCACTTTGAAATTAAATTTTGGCATGTTTTAGCTTACCTCAAGGGCATTCAAGATGTAGGTGTCTTTGTTTCCGCAGTAGTTTCAATTCTGATATTTTTAGGTCAAACTGTTCTTGTCTGTAAGTTATATAATGCAGGTCTATGGTCACCACCTCAAAGAGCATGCACAGAGAAGTCCAAATTAAACATGATTTAATGACTCGTAGATGTAAGTACACATTGATGGCCTAAGACACGAAGCGAGCGGTTTGTGTGAGAAAACTAACAGTATTTATATCGTTTTTATCTCTTGTAACCACAGCCACAAAGCGCCCGCGCCCTCAGATCACTTGGACGTGGCTGTGGTTACAAGAGGTAAAAACTGCATAAATACTGTTCGTTTTCTCAGACAAACCGCTTGTTTCGTGTCTTAGGCCATCAATGTGTACTTACATTAACGAGTCATTAAATCATGTTTAATTTGGACTTCTCTGTGCATGCTCTTTGAGGTGGTGACCATAGACCTCCATTATTTGACTGATAGACACGAACGGTTTGACCTAAAAATATAAAAATTGAAACTACTGTGGAAACAAAGACAGCTACATCTTGGATGCCCTTGAGGTAAGCTAAAACATACCAAAAATGTATTTCAAAGTGAACCCTCCCTTTAAGTAAGTAATGTACACATTATTGTCAATAAAACTTAAGTGTCCGACTTCATCTGTATTCAGCTTAATTGCAAATTTTCCTCAAGAGTTTTTTAAGCACCCCAGAACTGTTCAACACACATTTGACCTAGATTTGCTCAATGAAATGTTTATCGATTGATATCAGAGATGTGGACTTGAGACTCCTGACTTAAACTCAAGTCCTATTGCTTGACCTGGCAAACATTACAATACTTAAAACTAACATTTGCCAGTTTGGACAATGACAAGAGGTTGTGACTGAATTTCACCCAAGTTTCTGTCAGATGGTGTTTGGAAAGTGTCAAACATGTGTGCGGATGAAAAATATCAGGTTTGACTGTTCAAAAAAAAAATCATCATTAACTTCATCAGACATCCCAAAGAACAATTGCCGTTTCTCAAAACCAAGAATGCAAAGAACGGACTTGTGTTCTTGGGAAGAAAGCTCTTGCTAATTGTTCTTGGAAGAACGAACTCACGAGGTGACGAGCACACAGAACGCTGCTGATAGTTTGAGACGATGTGTTCTTGCTGTTATTGTGCAATAGTACCCCCGTACAGACGCCGTCTGCAGTGCCCAAACATAGCGAGAATTATACAGCCAGGCTTTATCGCCCAAGCCAAGCCTAAGGGATTACTCTACATACACCACAACAATGTAATGTATATTCATAACAATAAAGCAACAGCTGTCTCATTTTAATTCTGCTTCTGTTGTTTGTTTGTGTACATTGCTATAACCAACGGCGGGAAAAAAACGCTGGTAATATTCGGGTAACTTTTGACCTGCCTCTCTCTGCTTCCCGCTCCTTCCGCGAATGCCGAAATGAATTATGGGATATTTCTGCCGTCAAGTTCACACAAGTTACCAACCGATGCATCCACGATAAAATGGGAGTGTCAAGAACACATCCGGGATTTTTAACCGCTCTTGCCTAATTGCAAACTTGTGTATTGGGACAGTACTTGGGCCGCCACTGATGACGTTTTACAAGTCCACAAGAACACAAGTACAGACAAGAAGGCATATTGAGAAATGGCCAATGTCTAAACATATTTGGTTGTATCAACAAGAAAATATGTGTCATAATGCTGGAATGTTCATCAACGAGCTCGCTGGATGTTTAACTAGTTATGCTGAACTAAGTTTTAGGTTTTTACTCAAATTTAATCTGACGTTTCCTTGCCCCACATATGTGCATATTTATATTTCAGCATATTTTAAAACTTAAACCTGACATAAACACTATAACATGAGATGTGACATGAATGGCTTGAGAATTAATGACAGCTAAAAAAAACAGAGAACCTTGACAAACTGTGATGTGTCCCAAAGTCATAGTGGTTCAAATGTATAAATATTAAAAAATGCAATCATGATAGATGTCACTGTGTGGTGAAGTCTAAATGCATCCGTTTGCACTTTAAGGGCATGGTAGTTTCACTTTGGTTGAACTGTAAGACCAGTCCCATCACTTCAGAATGAGCGAATATGAGTGCAAAACAGCTTACCACATTTAACAAAGTTAAGGTAACACTTTAGGTTTTATTAGTTAATATTAGTAAATACATTATAAAAATCAAATGTTGCATTTGTTAACATTAGTTAATGCACTGTGAACTAATATGAACAAACAATGAACAACTGTATTTTTTTATAACATTAACAAAGATTTATATGAATTAACAATGGGCAATACATTTGTAACTGTATATGTTATTGAATACATAAACTAATGTTAACAAATGAAACCTTATTGTAATGTGTTACCAGAGTTAATTACAAACTCAGACTGAATAAAAAAAAAAAAACTATTATGAAAACGAAACATTTACCATAATTAAAAAAAGAACGAGGAGTTTCAGTGGGGTATGGTTTTTTATATAAATATTAAGAATAATGTTAACTGCTGCATATTAAATATCAACTTCTTTCGATGTTGCGGAATCATATCATATTTATTATCCAGTACCAGGATATTGGATATCTGGATTTGAAATCCCGTCCTTCGGATGAGACATTAAAAAGAGGTCGTGACTCTCTGTGGTCATTAAAAATCCCAGGATGTCTTTCGAAAGTGTAGGGGTGTAACCCTGGCATCCTGGCCCAGTGGCCTCTGTCCATCATGGCCTCCTAATCATCCCCATGTATACCAATTGGCTTAATCACTGTCTCCTCTCCACCAGTAAGCTGGTGTGTGGTGAGCGTTCTGGCGCACTATGGCAGCCGTCGCATCATCCGGGTGGATGCTGCACACTGGTGGTGGTTGAGGAGATTCCCCTCTCTATGTAAAACGCTTTGAGTGCAGAGAAAAGCGCTATATAAATGTAATGAATTAATATTATTATTATTATTATTATGGTAAACTAAATAAATTACTAAAATAAATATTTAATAAATAAATGTTTAATATGTAATTATTTCCTTAAGCAGCTTTTACATTGCTATTAGTTCTATCATAATTATACTAACATGCAATCCATGTACTAAAGACGCTAGTATAAAATGCAACTCAGTATTCTGAACATCAAATGTTCAAAATTGTTAATAATACCAAATAAAAAAAAATATTTTAGATTAAAAAAAAATGGGAAAAGAAAAACAAGTACTTCTCATCCCATGTCAGAGGTTGCCTTTTTTCTCACTCAAGTCAATCAACACAAACCATAAGCAAAATTCGTACAAGTTAAAATGCATATGAAATCCCCCAGAGTTCTGTCTAGAGCGTGTCCTGTGTGAAGGGCCACTCACGAGGGTCTGAGAGATGAGAGGATTTCACTGAATAAGATAAGAAAATACAGATCGTTCAATCGCCATATGGTGAGATGGTTTTAAGTCTCTGTTTTCGATCGTAGGTGCCACTGCCATCTCCAGTTACTTCACCTGGAAACATTTGAGAGAGGGAAATGGAGCTGCTGCTCTATTCAGCGTGGCGGTAATCCAGAGATTAGTTGGAAAAATTCCACACCGCTGCCACACAACGGCCCATCTCACTGTCACTCAACAGGCTCGACCAGTTAGAAAAAAGCCGGGTGCATCAGGGCCGGCCAGAGTGGGCATGTTTAATGTCATTCCATTCACTGCTGTCTCTATAGCAACCCGCCATGGGTGTGTTACATTTGCATGTCAGAGGGAAGGAAACCTGTTTACGAACATGGATATTAAGATTGTTTAATAGGAGCGCTTCATCTCTGCTGCACCGTAACTGTAACCATGGTTACGGTGTCGGGCAAAATATGCTGTAATGCGGTGCAGGGCAGGAACGGTCTTGGTTTGAAATGAAAATAATAATGGAGATTTATTAGCCATTTTATTGATGTTCTGTGCCCTTCTGATGATTTTTGTGTTTGGCTATTGTTAAAGGGATAGTTTACCCTCATCATTTACCCTCAAGTTGTTGAACACAAAAAAAGATATTTTGAAGAATATCGGTAACCAAACTGTTTATGGGCCCCATTGACTTCCATAGTAGGAAAAAAAAAAAATACTATGGAAGTCAATGGGACGCATCAACTGTTTGGTTACCCATATTCTTCAAAATATCTACTTTTGTGTTCAGCAGAAGAAAGAGACTCATATAGGTTTGAAATACTCATACAGGTTAGAGTAAATGACGACAGAATTGTAATCTTTGAGAGAACTATCTTTTTAAGAGAATTGATTCTTCCAAGGATGGTTTAGGGTCGACCAAGGACTTACCGGTCTATGCTGGAGGTCATTTTTGTAGTGTGTTCAGGGTCGCAGTTGTAGAGAGAGGATCTTTAAGCGTGAGGTAGACATTTGTACATTAACCTGGGTAACAAAACAAGAACAATGACAATTTTATTTTTTTTTATTTAATGCAATTTAAAGGTGTTTATTTAAAAGGCACTCCTTAAAATACATTTTTAAAATCTTCACTAATGTTTTATTAGGGCTGTCACGATACCAAACATTCAGCAGTCATACAAATACAAATACCAGTTATTTACTACTACAAAAATTAAATGTAGTAGTAAGTGCTTCCAGCTTTGCAAGAAACAAACTTGAACAAAGACATAAATAAAGTAGATCATAATGCTTGACATTTTTCAGGTATCTACCAGCATTAAAGTCTCAGAATCAATTAGAAAACATTCATAATTTAAAAAAAATAAATTAATAAATAACCATAAGAACTATTAAGTTGCATTTAGACTGCAAGGTCTAAATGTAAAGATCTTATTCTTTGACATTTTTTTTCTAAAACTTTTTTCCATAATTCTTTTTATAATGAAATATTGCAGTATTTATCCGAAATAATTGATCAGTGCACGACATTTTTTTTTCTTTTAAATTCCCTTGTAATCTTTAATCAAAATAACATGATGATAAGCAACATTATCTCTTCTCTGAAGACATGTGTTCTGGCATGAGGCCTGTCACTCAAAATCAAGTCCAGACCAACTTTTTCTTGAGAACTAGTTTCACTCGGATATATACGTCACAACAGGGAAAAAAACGATGACAACTTCCTTTCTATGCTGACTTTAACATAAGACAAAACGACAACGCATTTTCATCCCAAGGCGTCATCTAACTGACACTTTTGACCATGCTTCAACATCCGATGCTTAGGCACCCTTTAGCGTCAGTTAGATGACGTGGGTAGGTTTAGGTCTGGGGTAGGGTTAGGGTTAGACCACTAAGATAGCATCATCTAACTGATGCTAAAGGGTGCCTAAAGCGTCGGATGTTGATGCATGGTCAAAAGCGTAAGTTAGATGACACCTTGGGAAGACAACAGGCTGAAAATGACTCTTGAAAGAATGGCATAATATTTTATTTCACTATGCCAATTTTTTTTCACTAATCTTTTTATTTTATTTTACTAAACCAACTACCTTGTAGTGAAGTTCTGGTACTTTTGGCATCCTAAGTTTTCACCACCGTGGTTACAACATTACTGCTCCAGTGCTCCTGATATATTCATCTCTTGTAAAATGTATTTCTTGTGTTTTTCCCCATTTGTAATTCATTTTATATAAAAACGCCCACATTGTTATTTAATTAAAATGCAACAATGACCCATTTGGGATAAACAACCATTAAATATGGTAATTCATTCAAAAGCAAACTTACCTTCAGGCGTGCTTGCTCTAAGGAAGGAAGAGAAAAGCTTGCCACAGGATGTAGGATGAGGACAATCGTGGGCAAGACAGAAGGTGCGTGTGAATATGAATGTTTTCGTGTGCGGGGTCAATCAGAGGATTCTGAGGTCAAGGTAGAAAGGCCTGCTGTGGGTCCCTGTGGGGTGTGTGTGCTTTCAGTCGGGTGTGAGACTGGAGGCACCACATGTTAGCACTACCTAAGAAAATATAGATACAATCAGCATTATGATTACCTATTTTATACTGTATGTAATGAAGGTAGCACGTTAAATATATTCCTTAAATCATTTTAGGTTTAGAAGAGATGATGCTTAATTTAATAAAATATATGTCACATGAAATAACTGTCAAGATATGAAATAAAAAAAGCCTAAATTAAATTGTAAATAGTTCCATTGGGAATAAATATGCAAGCTTAGCTGGCAAGAAATTAATTATGTTGTGATTTTAAAGACAACTGAATTGTAATTTTTGAAGTATTTTGGGAATAAATAAATAAACTCACTCATGTCATTATTTCTGTAATAGCAGCCACGCTCCTGAACCACTGTAAATCTGCTCTTAAATCTGAAACAGAAACAGAAATTAGTCAAATAAACAGCAGGCACCTGAGAAAACAGCTTCAATTACATTAGATTAACTAATAATACATTAGTATAACTGGTGCTAAGGAGTTTATAACCAAAATAAAATTAAACAAAAAACATCTGAACTCATAACACGAAACGTTCAGGTTTCAAGATAAAAACATCACGTTGACTCAGTAAGCCTGGGAAGAGTTATGACCTTGAAGTTAAACTGTTAAACATTCTGTAACACAGAGGGGAAAAGCATCATTACCGCTATACCCTAAATGATGAACTGACATTTAACATTTCACCCTGGACTAACAGGCCACAGATGTTGTGATGGACTACCAAGCCTGATAGATGACTTGGCAAGACTTTCTCCACCAAAGATAAACAGTTAATATTGTAAAAGCAGGGCCGAAGTTCAAACATTCATAAGAACATACAGAATTCACTGTCATTACCAGTTAACTGCAGTCCGGTGTGCACTGTACAAATCACAGTAGTCATTTACATTCACTTGTTAAAAAAAAAATTCATTGTAGGATGGGGGCAAATTCTAAATATTTTCTGTTTGTGTTCTACAGAAGAAAGAAATCCATATAGGATAGTAATCTTGTTTTCTTTTAAATTTGCCCTTTTGGATGAAATAAAATAAAAATAAGATATAAAAAGAAATTAAATAAGAAAAGATCAAATATAAAAAAATGTAATAAAAAAAAACACACATATACATACATACAGTACGTGTATATATATATATATATATATATATATATATACTGTATATATACACTACCGGTCAAAAGTTTTAGATCAGTAAGATTTTTTATGTTTTTAAATGAATTCTCTTCTGCTCACCAAGGCTGCTTTATTTGATGAAAAAAAAAAATGACAAACAGTAATATTGTGAAATATTATGACAATTTAAAATGACTGTTTTCTATTTTAATATATGTAAAATGTAATTTGAACGCTGAATTTTCAACATCATTACTGTTGCTGATTACACATCAGTTTTCAGTGTCACATGATCCTTCAGAAATCATTCTAATATGCTGATTTTATGCTCAAAGAACATACATTATTATTTTCAATGTTGAAAACAGTCGTGTACCATTTTTTCCCCCAAAATTCAATGATGAATAGAAAGTTCAAAAGAACAGCATTTATTTAAAATATAATATTTTCTAATATTATAAATGTCTTTACTGTAACTTTTGATCAATTTAACTCATGCTTGATGAAAAAAAGTGTTTTCTAATTTCTTTCCCCAAAAAATAAAATATAAATTCTTACTGACCCCAAACTTTTGAATGGTAGTGATTAATGTTACAAAAGCTTTCCATTTCAGATCAATTCTGTTCTTTTGAACTCTCTATTCATCAAAGAATCCTGAAATAAAAATGTAAAAAACTGTTTTCAACATGGATAATAATCATAAATGTTTCTTGAGCATCATATTATAATAATTTCTGTAGGATCATGTGACACTGAAGTAATGATGTAATGATGCTGTCAATTCAGCTTTGATCACAGGAATAAATTACACTTCACTATATATTCACATAGAAAACCACTGTTTTAAACTGTAATAATATTTCACAATTTTATTTTTTTTTTTTTTTTTGGTTTTGTTTTGTTCATCAAATAATTGCAGCCTTGGTGAGCAGAAGAGACTTCTTTTAAAAACATAAAAAATCTTACCGATCTAAAACTTTTGACCGGTAGTGTGTGTGTGTGTGTATATATATATATATATATATATATATATATATATATATGCCTCCCTTCATGTGGGAGTGCATAACTCTTTGTACTCCTGTATGCAACTCTGGTAAAATGAGAACAGGCATTGGTTCTCTATGGAAATTACCCAGCATGAAAGAAGTCGTGAGTGAGCTGTAGAAGCTGTAGTACCCTAACAAGCTGAAAGACGTGTCCAGGAAAGTGCATGTGCAATAAAGGCAGTCACACCCCTGAGGACAGTCTATATATAGCAGTGGTGGTGCGGTATTGCCACATCACTCATATTAGGTTTCCATGTCTAGAACAGGCAGACTCCAGTAATCAATGAGCATCTTCTGAATCAAGACAAGAGCATTCTGTTCTTTTCATCATAACCTTCATTATGCTTAAAAATAAAACGCATGTGTGAATTTACACAACTTCACAAACAGAAGTAGCAGCTTTGACCCAGTTCATGTCTATAATAAGCATTAGGTTTGTGATAAACGTTGGGTCAAAGTGCATGTGCTTATCAAGATTACTACTATCAGAATACAGTTCACGGACTGTCTTTTGGCTAATTCTCTCAAATATTTTTCCCTACTTGGTTTGATTGTCAAGTCCAAACAGACTAGAGTTTGATTCAATCATATTTCCCTCTGCAAGTCTCTTTTTACCCAGAATTATTTGGGTGACATATACCATCACCAAGAACAGCTAACAACTGCTAATAACTAGCTAACAACTCTGCATATTATTTTTATTATTAAGAAGCTTTTAAAATATGTTTTTAGAATGTCCTGGCCAAGATGGTTACTGTAAAGAAACACAAAAATAGTCAAGATAAAACATTAAAAAGGCAACAAAAAATACAAATATTTAGAAACTACGAAACAAATCGAATTATGAATCATAGTGAAAATAAAATATTTAAAAAAACTCAACAAAATAAAATGAATTAAATCATAAAATAAAACTAAATGCAATAAATAAGTAAAAAAAAAAAAATATTGCTATCTGGGAATGCTTCACTTCAGACCAATTTTCCAAGGCTTTGCACCTTTATGATTCACTAGTGCTCACCCCAACTTCAGAAAACCACTTTCACACCAACCAAATTAAACAAGCGCTGACGTCAAACAGACGCAGAGCCCTCACTAGTGTGAAAGCACCCCTAAATCTCCCAGCACAACTAAGACACTCTTAAAACTCCCATAAAGATTTTCATTTTTTGCATGCAGAGAAAAGCCTTCTGTCAGTCTGCATAATGATAGAACACATTACTGTATTTGTCCCCCTGCCAAAAACAGTCAGTTGTTCTTGTTTACAAGCTTGTACTTCATGGGCATTTCAATGGTCTATAAAAAGGATAACAAGAAAGAGCATGGCGTAGTGCTAGAAGTTACCGTGACTTATCAGCTACCACGCGGAATGAGCAATAGTTCTGGAGTGGCGTCAGTTCATTTTCGTACTGTATGACATTCACACGCAGAACGGACACGCATACCTAAACACACCCACAGATTCTTATGAGCTCAAAGAAGAAAAAAAGAAATCACATGCAACTGGGTCATTCTTCAATTGGAGTGATGAGAGACAGAATTTGAAAAACAAAATGATGTTATTTTTTTTTATATAATATAATGTTTTGCTATACTAAATTGTGTTATGTTGGATGTGATATTCAGTAAAATAGAATATTCAGAATCTTGTTAGTAAAATACGTGTGCACTACCCAGGTAACATCACAGACTCTAATACACGAAACTGAATTGGAATTTTCCAACAATTATGAAAATTAACAAGAAAGAATGAACACAGAAATATATGTACAGTATATACAATATGTATCTGTATATACAATATGTATCTGTTTGTATATATATATATATATATATATATATATATACTGTTCATTCTTTTTTATTGATTTTCAAAAAATGTCAGGAATATCTATTAGAATATTTCCAGATACTGTACGAGTCACAATAACTTAAAATCAAGGTGGAGTTCCATTTCAACATGAAAACTGAATTGCTTCACTACAGGGATAATAAAGAAGAGGAATCCTCCGACTCTGTGCCACATATATTTCCTTAACACATAAAACATGTCCTTTGCACATACAAAAATAGATATCCTAAGGATTTCTTAGAATGGGGGAGAACACAGAAAGGGAGAGGGACAGGGGGGATTCTGGGAAAACATGAGAAGGGCACATGTGGAGAGGCAATGGAGAACTGGAAAAAGAAGTAGGATAGAGTCAAATATTTTCTGTTCAGTCAATTTCGCAAGATGATTGACAAAAAGCAAGGCATGTAAACCCATGAAAGAGGGTACGAGAGAGAAGAAAAAGGGGTAAGGCGGCATGCAAGAAGAAAAAAAAATGAGGGGGAGGGCTTGTGAAAAAAAAAACATCATGTGAAAAAGGATAAAACAAGACATAAAAGCAAAAGAGAAAAAGAAATAGGAAGTAATGCAGTCCCCGGCATTTCTTGCTCGGTTGTGGCGTTAACAGTAGGCTGAGCAATGGTTTTGTAACTGTGATGTCAGTAGATGCTTCACTGACCTGCTGACCTAGTGACCTACTTTTGCTTCTCTCGCTCACTGTTTCTCTCTTCTACTGCGACTTAAGCACAGCTCAGGCAGCTGCAGCCAATCATGCGGCAGGCTGAGTCACCACACACTCACCAACAGCAAATCAGTAACAAACAGCAGCCAATCATATGCTGCTAAGGTAGAAACTAAAGGGGTTTCCAGCCAATCAAACGCCTATAAAACTCTCAGCTAACCAACAGCGAGCAGAATAAAAAGCGAACAAGAACAAGAAAGATTCAAGCTGATAGAAGAGCAACTTTGACTGAAATAACCACTCGTTACAACCAAGGTATGCAGCAAAGCATTTGTGAGCCACAACACACACAACCTTGAGGCGGATGGGCTACAACAGCAGAAGACCCCACCGGGTACCACTCATCTCCACTACAAATAGGGAAAAGAGGCTACAATTTGCAAGAGCTCATCAAAATTGGACAGTTGAAGACTGGAAAAATGTTGCCTGGTCTGATGAGTCTCGATTTCTGTTGAGACATTCAGATGAGTCAGAATTTGGCGTAAACAGAATGAGAACATGGATCCATCATGCCTTGTTACCACTGTGCAGGCTGGTGGTGGTGGTGTAATGGTGTGGGGATGTTTTCTTGGCACACTTTAGGCCTGTTAGTGCCAATTGGGCATCGTTTAAATGCCACGGACTACCTGAGCATTGTT